ATTCTGTTGTCGTTGTACTGGATGATTATCTTGCCTCTATAATGTACTTAACACGGGCGAACAGAAACAACCAAGAGCCTGGCCGACAACAGACCCCACCCCCGCAATGCCCGACTCAGCTCCGGACAAGGGGTCCGACAGGGAACAAGAGAACAGCAACTCTTCTTTTTTCTTGGCTCTTGGCTTCCAAGACATCGAGTTTTGTTTTTATCTCAAAACCATTTTCTCTCACACAGCCTCGCCTCAGTTCAGTCAATCTTTGTTGATACTGCCCTCGCTTGACTTCAGCGGCACTCGTACCCTGCAGCGACCTCGGATACACCCATTGGCGCGGCCAATTCCACTCTTCGGGCCGCTAAATTTAAGGTTTCGAGAACGATCCTGTGCTGCGACCCTTCCATTGGAACACTGCAACCTGGACAAAGCATCATTGGCTCCCCTTTGCAGAGCGCCGACTTCGCAACGACCAGGGACAACGGAACATTCGTTCTGCGCTGGCTGAGTCACTTGAGCACCACAACAGTGGGCAGGAGGGCTCACGACCAAACACTCTCTCTCTCTCTCTTTAAACATCGGAAATAATCCTCGCTCACTCACTCATCCCTGAGATACCCCATATATACCCTTTCATACATTACCTAAAAACAAAGAATGGCCGGGTCCCAACTACTACAGAACGACAGCCCCAATGGCTGGATCGTGCAGAAATTCGGTGGCACAAGCGTGGGCAAGTTCCCCGACAGAATCGCAGAGGATATCATCAGGTATGGATAATGGGGGAATCTGGGTGTGGTGTCACACCGCTCATGAATGCTTAACAAGGGCCCTGTGACTGACCTCACTTTGAACACAGAGCGTATGTGAAGGACCATAGGCTAGTAGTCGTCTGCTCAGCAAGGAGTACGGGCAAGAAGGTTACTGGAACCACCAGTCGGTGAGTAGTCCATCTCATTATGACCCTCACTCATCACTCAACTCAACCCCTTCCATCCGTGACCAACACCAGCTGCTAACTCAGCTACACACACAGGCTACTGGAGGTATTCAAGAATCTCAAAGCCATTGCCGCATATGCAAGTGACGAGCATAAACAAGATGCCCTGCTCAAGGACGCCAAGCGAGTTATGCAGGACATCTGCAGCGACCACACCGCCGCGGCCGACAAATTCATCCAGGATGCCGAGCTTGCAGCCATCGTGAAGGAGGAGACGGTAAAAGAGTGCCAGCTACTGATCGAATACCTGGAAGCCGCCAAGCGGTTCCACCTCGAGGTAAACTCGCGGGCAAAGGACCGAGTCATCAGCTTTGGCGAGAAGCTCAGCTGTCGCTTCATGGCCTGCATGCTCAAAGACCGGGGAGTCGACGCCGAGTACGTCGACCTGGCCGACGTCTTGCACCTTGATGCCAGCATCGAGCGGCTCGACGCCACCTTTTACCGTGAAGCGGCCGAGGTCATTGCCAAGAAGATCCTCGCCTGTGAGAACCGCGTACCAGTCGTCACCGGCTTCTTCGGCAACGTGCCTGGTGGCCTGCTCGACGGCGACGTCGGCCGTGGCTACACGGATCTATGTGCGTCTCTCGCGGCCGTAGGCCTGAAAGCCGACGAGCTGCAGATCTGGAAGGAAGTCGACGGTATCTTCACGGCAGACCCGTCCAAGGTGCCGACGGCGCGCCTGGTGCCCTCCATCACGCCCTCTGAGGCTGCCGAGCTGACCTTCTACGGCTCCGAAGTCATCCACCACCTGACCATGGACCAGGTCATCAAAGCCACTCCGCCCATCCCCATTCGCATCAAGAACGTCAAGAACCCGCGCGGCGAGGGAACCATCGTCAAGCCCGACCCCTTGCTGGCCCCCGACCAGACGCTCCAGCGACACCAGCAGAACGGCACTTGCAACGGCACCAAGACCAACGGCACCGGCCAAAAGAGCAACAAACCCAAGCGCCCCACGGCCGTGACCATCAAGGACAAGATCTCCATCATCAACATCCACTCCAACAAGCGGTCGATCGCGCACACCTTCTTGGCGAGGTTATTCGCCATCCTCAACAAGCACCGCGTGTCCGTTGACCTCATCTCCACCAGCGAGGTGCACGTCTCCGTGGCCGTGCACATGGGCAATGCCGAGATGACCAACTTTGACGCGGCCGTCAAGGACCTGGGCGACTGCGGCGATGTGAGCGTCCTCCATGGTCTGGCCATCCTCAGTCTGGTGGGCGCCGAGATGAAGAACATGATTGGTATTTCGGGAAAGATGTTTTCGACGTTGGGTGATCACAGAATCAATATTGAGATGATTTCTCAGGGTAAGTTTGGTTCTTGATCGTGTTTTTGTGTGTGTGTGTGAGAGAGAGAGTATGGATGGCTAACAATTGTGGGTCAATAGGTGCCAGCGAGATCAACATCTCGTGTGTTATCGACGCTAGGGACGCCGAGCGGGCTATGAATATCTTGCACACCAACTTGTTCACCTTCCTGGAGTAAAGGGGCAGCCTACTGCTGAGGGTGTAACAGAGTGAACTTTGTGTTGGTTTAGACGTCTCTGTCCTTAATCTTGCGGTGAGTTAGACGTGAGAGAGCTAGACGGTCCGAGAGAGAGAGAAGAGAAAACGGGGTTAAACCCACGGGGGAGGAGTGAAGAAAGAAGAAGAAGTTGAATAGACGAGCGGTTGTCGGATGGAACCTGTATACCATCTGGGCAACACCTAGCGAAGATTTCTTTTTTTTCATTTACATGGCATTTATATAGAGCATGGCAGGGAGGTTAACGAAAAGGGTTAATATAGCGCCATAGACAAAAACTACACAGGAAGATCACCCATCGAACTTGGAAGTACCGGAGCCTTGTCTTAAGAGTAGATTTGACCAAGCGTGGCCATTACACGCAATGCAAACAGTATCACAACATGAAACTGTAACAAACCTATTTGAGATAAGGGGCCGTGGTCCTCACAACCCCGAATGTTGACATTTGTATAGTTGTCGTACAAACAGGTTCCGGGATTCCCTTCTTGATGCTCTCCCTCCCCCATTTTCATTACATTACTACTTTCTGTTTCCGTCTCTCCGCGGCTCACTCGCCCCTTTCGCTGTACCGTGTAGTGGTCTTGGTTACCCGTCCGCCCATCAACTCGATCGTCCCACACATAACATCTTGAAGTTCGTCCCTTTTATGTCTCTCCCCACTCTCTTCAACCTCCATGTTTCTTCGGCTTGATAACCAGCAAAATAATCATACCCGCTATCAATATCAACAACAGCAGTATGATCTTCCTCTTGGTCGTCTTCTTCTGGTACCCGGACGCAACCGTCAACTCCTTGGCCGCCTCCTTCACGTCCGTCGCCATCCGCTCCACGTTGTAATCGATCCGGTCCAGCATCGTACCCTGGTCAATGACCATGGTCTGCAGATCCCTGAACAGATCGGACAGGTCGATGATGCCCTGAGCAATTTCGTCAATTTCGCGCTCGCGCTGCGAGATCGCCTGGTCGTTGCTGTGAAGCAGCTTCTGGTGCGTTGACGCTTGTAAAGTCGACTGGGAGAAGACCCGGTCGGCGTCGGATTCGAGAATGGAGGCGCTGTTGGAGCTGTTGCCGGGCGGGAGGCCGCTTGGGCCCAGGAAAGAAGAGGTGGTTGAGACTCGGTCGAGGGTTGGACTGGCAAGGCCGCTCATGCCTCTTAGCTCTGAACAGGGAGTGTGATGTCAGCATGATTGTTTAGAGTCGGAGTCGGGTGGTAAAGTAGGGGGGCTCACTCTTTAGATATGCGCTCTGCTTTTTTCGAAAGTTGGCGCTGGCCTCCTGGACTCTCGTGGCCAGGTTGATTTGTATGTTCTTGGCCATGACCTCGTCGGCGCGACTCATCTGGCCATTGTGCTTGCCCTCGCGCACCATCTGCTCGATGCGCTGGATGACGCGGTGGCAGTCGTGGAACCCCTTGGTGATGGACTGCGTGAGCTGCTCTATCTCACGTTCCTGGTCCCTCTTAGCCTCGTCGTCGTCAAAACCCGGCAGTACGTGCTTCTGATGCAACCGCTCCAGCTTCTGGCTCTTGCGGGCGATGTCGGCCAGCAGCTCCGCCACTTCGTCCGACGAATCCGCCCACCGAGGCGGAAGCAGGTCCATCTCAATCACCGCATCGCCGTCGTCGACATCGTAGGCCCCTGCGGATAAGAGGCCGCGCCGGTCATCGTCGGCAGAGAAAAGGACCCCCGTGCTGCTGCCAGCCCCGCCGGAAGTCCCGCCGAAGCGGTCGCCTGGGTTCTGAGGGGCATATCGGTTGCGCTGGGTCGGGTGGTGGGCGTAGGACTGCCGGTACGAGATATAGCTGTGATAGTCACATGGATGTTAACGAACAAATCTCATCATTAGGGGTTTAGGAGAGTTCCCCGTACAGATTAGTGCGGTCGCGCCACATGGCGGACGCCGGAAGGGCGAAAGGCTCCCTTCACCTCGGTTGCACGCCGAAGGCTAGTCGTCGTCTCGGTCCGAGGTGGGAGTCAATTGATGGTAGTTAGTGGTAATGGCGGTCCAAAGGCGGATTGGAGTTGGTATGGCATCACATCGCATCGCATGGACACGGCTGTGTATGTGATCGAGGTTGAGTTGCCAATGTCTCCGTCCCTGGTCGATCTTCCCGGGGGGGAAATGTTTCTGGGCCTCTCTCTTTCACTACCTCTACCTATGTAATAACAGCAACAGGGCCAGTACCTAGCACTGGGCAGCTGCTACCACTGACAATGACGCTGACGCGGCGGTTCAGAAACACACCTAATGCTGGCCAGTTCAATTCCAGGGATGGGGGCATGAATGACATGGGATGCATGTCACCTGTCAGGCACTTGGGGCCCGCCAATAAGGGGTAGCGTTTGTCAGTGTCTCAAAGAGTCGGTCAGCTGGCAGCCTGGGGGACGGGACCTTTCAGCCTGTTAACAGTCTGGCCCGTCTGTCCTGGGCTGGGGCTGACGACCTACACAGTGGTGATGTATCCCATGCAGAGGTTCCAGGTTGCAGCACCTGCGAGACGCCGGGATGGGCTCCAGGGCATCTTTTTAGTCTCATTTTAGCGAGTGTGTTACAGTTAGGTAGGGAGGGACCCCGCCCCGCCTCCCTCCACTCCATGCTTCGCAATCGGCGGCCCAGCTGCTCATTTAAGGAACGTCGAACTAGGAGGAGAACGGGGACTTGGACCTACCTGGTAGGTAGGTAGGTAGCCAACGGGTCTCGTTTCTACTGGGGGACCTCCATATCTACCACTTCCAAACCAGAACACCTTCGAAATCCTCCTCCGAACACATCCAACTATCTCACACGCTCGCTCTCCCCAGACCCTCTATCCACCCCTTAATCCTATATCAAGATGGTATGCTCATTCCTTATCTTGGCGCCTCCCGGTCGAAGCTGTTTGAGCGCAACAAGAACCCCGCGGGTTAGCTCGAGGGGCTGCGGCGGCCGGGCTGCGAACATACGATGATGGCTGGAAAGGAGACGGGTGGCTGACCAGGCTATCAACAACAGGCGGACTCCCTTACTGAAGAGCAGGTCTCTGAGTTCAAGGAGGCCTTCTCCCTCTTTGTAAGTTTATCTTCTTGCGCCGAGCTTCCTTGTCGCCTATGCTCAATCCCCTGTGTCGCCGTTTGGCGCAAATCGTGCGAGCCTGATGACTGACCCGACACAACGTGACACAGGACAAGGACGGTGATGGTTAGTCTTCCGAAACCCTACCCTCCAGGTATCCGAATCCATCCACCACCAAGGTAGCGGCAAGCGCATTGGATCATAGTAGTTGCGACGCGCCCAACACTTCTCACCGCCCGCCCCTGAATCGAGTTGCGATGTGAATACGAGCCGTACCGTAATGCACGCATACTGAACAGCAGCTAGGCCAAATCACCACCAAGGAGCTCGGTACCGTCATGCGCTCGCTGGGCCAGAACCCCTCCGAGTCTGAGCTTCAGGACATGATCAACGAGGTCGATGCCGACAACAACGGCACCATTGACTTCCCTGGTATGATATGAACACGGACTTTGGACTTGCCAGCCCGCCGCTGACCATAACCTACAGAGTTCCTTACCATGATGGCCAGAAAGATGAAGGATACCGACTCCGAGGAGGAGATCCGTGAGGCCTTCAAGGTGTTCGATCGCGACAACAACGGCTTCATCTCCGCTGCTGAGCTCCGTCACGTCATGACCTCCATCGGCGAGAAGCTCACTGATGACGAGGTTGATGAGATGATCCGCGAGGCCGACCAGGACGGCGATGGGCGTATCGACTGTACGTATTCAATTCATGCGACTCAGCCTGGGTATAGCTTACTAACGCCTTGCTTCCAAACAGACAACGAGTTCGTCCAGCTCATGATGCAGAAGTAAACGGCTTTCTCCTATATTCCAACTCTCCACGAAGACAGGTTTTAGCGTTCTCTTTGAATACCACTATTAGTTGATATGCCTCCATTCGGATGTGAAGGGATAGCTTTGTTTCCCACGCTTGGTATGTTATGCAAGGATCACCTGTGTTCTCGTGGTTGCGCATTATGCTGGACTGTTATCTCTCCTCCTGCCTCAAACCACCGAGCTCGGGAAGCAATGGGGTGAAGTTGACATAAATTGACGCTAGCGACTCAAGTTTCTCTCCGGTTGACTTTGAGTCTGTGGCGATTCGTCTCCAAAGCAGTTATCAATCAAATCTTACTCCGCCTTTGCTAGTGAGGAACCATTACCTACGGTGTTGTCTCGCCAAGTGGAAGCTGTACCACATGAGCAAAGGAGCACTTCCTTCCAGAGGTTCAGATGAAACCCTACTGTTTGCTACATAAACTTTTCAAATGCACAGCTGCCGAGTTCACGTCATCAGGGACCATCAGCAAGACCGGAGACCTGTCAACGAGTGGGGATGACCTGCAGGATGATTGTGGCAGTGTTGCCTAGCGACATCAACCATCAAGCCCAGGCCGGATATGTGGATATCATCAGCCCTATAGGGATTTCCGTATCGTACACATCCGTACGGCACAGCATCTAGAGAACCAACTCATCTCCCGATCACCGTTGATGTATGGGGGATCAGGTCGTTGTCGGTCAGTGATGGCTGTAGGTTGCGGTGAGGCTGTTTGCTGCTTGTGATGCCCTCATCAATTTCATCACTATTGTGACCATAGATGAAACGCATGTTCCCCGAAAGCTCTATGATACAGTATTCACACAGTCAATTGTCATATGGCCGAGCTTGTCAGTTGACCAACGCTCATTGCGGTCCTGTTGAAAAAGAAATAATCAAGCATTGCTGCCGCCCTCATGCTCGATGTGTTCGGGACTGGTCCAAACAGGATCAGCACTGACGGTGATGATGAATAGCTTATCAACTTTTCTTCAGGACTTAAACAAGCTTTGAATGTGTTTGACCTTCCATCTTCAACAATTATAGTTCATCCCAATATCCAACATCCCATACCATCATTCTCACAGATCTAAGCGGTGACAAGATAAGGCCGCCCTAGGTATCGAAAAGAGCAATGTCTGATGCTTTGGCTGGTGTCAGACAGGACATTCATCATTTTGACCCTAACCCTGATTGCCCCTTTTCCGGCGAGGCCGTCAGGGTGCCTGACAAGACGGTCTAGGCCCCACCTTCCCGCCGTACCGAGTTGTTGCATCGCAGCTGAGGAACAGCACCTGTCCAGGGTCCCTGAGGTCCATGCTTTTCAGAGAGTTTGGCGCCTGCCGTCGCGCTGTTGCCGGGAAGCTTTGCAGCAGAGAGGTGCCTGCCTGAGGCCACGAGTCCAGTACAGTACACTAGAGGTACCTAGTGTAGGTAAGTGTATCTACTGCTGCCGTGCTGACCGTCACCGTCTGCCTGGGGCTGGGAGCGGACTGGGAGGGAGAGATCAAGGTGGGGGGTGGACACACACGGTCAAGAGGAGCTCCAATAAGCGCATTCCATGGCCACATCGCACGCCCGCCCATTGTGTGCTGTGCTTCCACTTGTCGTGTTTCGGCCGGGTTCCCAAAAAAGATGATCCTATCTCATGAATGTCTACGTACCGCTGCTTTACCGTATCGTAACTTCGTCCATTGCGTGCCTCTACTTTCTTCGGATACCCCTTGCTTGAAATTCCAAAGAACCGCCATCCGTTCTCCGTTCCGCAGCTCCCCCGCCATCTCGAGAGCTCAAGCATCCGCTACCACTTCCACTCTGGTCCAGATCCCCTAGACAGGCCCCCTTGCGGGCCCCTAATGATTGCATCGCCATGAGTTCCCGTAAGTGAGCCAGCGGCATCGTCATGATCCCAAGCCTCGAGTGACCAGGACGAGGCCGAAACTGACGCTTGTAATCGGCAAACAGTCAAGCAGTTTATTCGCAATGTCCGAGCCGCAAAGACCATCGCCGACGAGAGAGCCGTGATCCAGAAAGAGAGCGCCGCCATTAGAGCCAGCTTCAGGGAGGAGAGCCACGATCACAGCGTCAGGTGCATCTGAGCTGCCAATACCCAAGCTTCCCCGGGATCTCGGTTTGCTGATCAACTGTGTCATTGCAGGCGCAACAATGTGGCCAAGCTATTATACCTCTTCACCCTCGGCGAGCGCACTCACTTTGGTCAGATCGAGTGTTTAAAGCTCCTGGCCTCTCCGCGCTTCGCCGACAAGCGTCTGGGCCATCTCGCGACAAGTTTGCTGCTCGACGAGAACCAGGAAGTGCTTACTCTGGTTACCAACTCGCTGCAAAAGTATGGTGTCCAGGAAGACGATTATGGGTGCGCAACGTGATGCTGACGCGCGGCTCGACAGTGATCTTAACCATTCGAATCAGTATGTGGTGGGCCTCGCCCTCTGCACCCTCGGAAACATCGCATCGGTCGAGATGTCTAGAGACCTGTTTCCCCAAATCGAAACACTTATATCGACGACAAACCCATACATCCGGCGGAAGGCAGCTCTGTGTGCGATGCGCATATGCAAAAAGGTTCCGGATCTCCAAGAACACTTTGTCGAGAAGGCGGCGCAATTACTATCAGATCGCAACCACGGCGTGTTGCTTTGCGGCTTGACATTGGTGACCAGCCTTTGCGAAGCTGACGAGGCTGAGGGTGGGGAGGAGGGCATCATCGAGAAGTTCAGGCAGTTCGTGCCGGTACTCGTGAGGACTCTCAAAGGACTGGCTTCTTCCGGTTATGCGCCGGAGCACGACGTTACGGGCATTACCGACCCGTTCTTGCAGGTCAAGATTTTGCGCCTTCTCCGAGTCCTGGCCCGCGGCGATGCTCAGACTACGGAGCAGATCAACGATATCCTCGCTCAGGTTGCGACCAACACCGACGCTACCAAGAACGTTGGCAACTCGATCCTTTACGAGGCCGTACTGACCATTCTCGATATCGAGGCCGATGCCGGCTTGCGCGTGCTGGGAGTCAATATCCTCGGCAAGTTCTTGGCTAACAAGGACAACAATATCCGTTATGTTGCGCTAAACACGCTGGTCAAGGTGGTGGCCATCGACACCAACGCTGTACAAAGACACCGGAACACCATTTTGGAGTGCCTTAGGGACCCCGACATCAGTATCAGGAGGAGAGCTCTTGATCTGAGTTTCACCCTAATTAACGAGAGCAACGTCCGCGTCCTTATCCGAGAATTGTTGGCTTTCCTGGAAGTGGCGGATAATGAGTTTAAGCCTAATATGACTAGCCAGATCGGCATCGCCGCTGATAGGTACGCCCCGAACAAGAGGTGGCATGTCGATACGATGCTCCGTGTCTTGACGTTAGCCGGTAACTACGTCAAGGAGCCCATCCTGTCCTCGTTCATTCGCCTTATCGCTACGACTCCCGAGCTACAAACGTACGCCGTGCAAAAGCTTTACACCAACTTGAAGAAGGATATCACCCAAGAAAGTCTGACGCAGGCCGGCGCGTGGTGCATCGGTGAATATGGTGACGCTCTTCTCAGGGGTGGTCAGTATGAGGAGGAGGAGCTCGTACAGGAGGTCAAGGAGCATGAACTTATCGACTTGTTCACAACCATCTTGAACAGCAACTACGCTACCCAAGTCACCACCGAGTACATCATCACGGCACTCATCAAGCTCACCACTAGGCTGCAAGACACAGCCCAAATCGAGAGAGTTCGCCGTCTGCTTCAGTACCACCAGACAAGTCTGGATGTTGAAGTTCAACAGCGTGCGGTGGAATACGGCAACCTGTTTTCCTTTGATCAGATCCGCCGTGGTGTGCTCGAGAAGATGCCTCCTCCCCAAATCAAGGAGTCCTCCCGAGTACTTGGTGAAGCTGCCAAGAAGACCACCAAGGCGGCGGGCAAGAAGACTAACAAGGCTGCCAAGCCTAAGGAAGAGGATCTCTTATTCGACCTCATGGGAGACACCAATCTCCCGTCTCCTTCTGTTCCCAACGGCGGGACGAACAATGCCGACCTCCTTGCCGATATTCTTGGCGGCACCACTTCGCCTCCGACCTCAGCCTCGCCGGCTCCCGCACAGTCAAACGTTGCCTCGATCATGGATCTCTTTTCGCAGGGACCTACCTCCACTCCGTCTCCCGCACCTGCACCAGCGGCTGCTCCATCAGCAGTCCTTGATCTTTTCAACACCACTCCGGCCGTCGCTCCGGCTCCGGTCCCTCAAGCGGCGCCCAAGCCCGCTGCTGCGGCCGGCCATGCTTGCTACGACAACAACGGACTGAACGTCACCATTCAGATACAGCGAAATGCCGAGGGCATGATCCAGGCTACGGCTCGCTTCCGCAACTCGTTCCCTGGCGGTCCGCTTTCGACTGTCGGGTTGCAGGCGGCGGTGCCCAAGTCTCAGAAGCTACAGCTGCTCAATATTTCGTCGACGGATATTGCGCCGGGGGCGGAGGCGACGCAAATGATGAGAGTCGCGGGTTGCACTGGGGTAGGTTCAATTCAGTTTATGTCCTTTTCCCATATTTCGATCAAGTTGTTAACCAGTTTTGTGCACAGGCTTTGCGTCTACGTCTCAAGATAGGATATACACACCCTACGGTGGGACAGGTATTGGACCTGGTCAACTGGACGGAGCCCTCTTGAATGAATGAGGAAGGACGAGTTATGAAGGGGGCAGTAAGGGTGAGAGGGGAGAGAGAAGAAAGAGTGATCGTAATGTTAACGTATTAGCTATTGAATGGTCAAGTCACATACCCTTTGATTACAGGGTAGACCGCAGAGTACCGGCAAGAAGCAGGACAAGGTATAGAGAGGAAACCAAAACGAAGCAGCCGGTTTATTGCCAAGGCGTAAATCGTTACTACTATTCTTTTGCAGACTATTTGCCGAGGGCTTAAGCATGCGTATTTCAAGTTACTATCCCCTTCTCTTCTCCAAAAGGCTGTGAATCTCCATAAGCACTCGGCCATCGCAATCATCACTTTAGCACCATCTCTTAGTTGACATTTGGTTTTATTTGTGCATCTCCCACTACTCAAGTCCAGCAATCCCTCACCCTTTCCTCTTCCGACCATGGTTGATGATCGGGCAGTCAGCCCGATATTACTAACAAGAGTTTTATGACATAGCTCGTGCTATCCATCTGTCATCTAATCCAACACAATGTGCCTGTTTGGCGCCGCCATTAACGCCCTCTTTGTGGTGTAGGTAGGTACAAATATGCAAGTGATTGCACAAGAAAATTGTTGAGAAATAAAGACAAAGGAGAGAAACAAAAAAAAAAAAAAAAAGAAGATGGCTCCTACATAAAATACATGGTGTCTTTTTTTGGTGCTTGTTTTTGGTTTGATTTTCCACATCCAATGTTCATTCACTGACATTTCAGAAAAGTTTTTAGTTGCCATAAAACCAGTACCTATTTTCCAACAATGTTAGCCACCATCCCCTGTTTTTGCTTACAAAGTTTTCATGAGGTGTTTTGAAGGGATAAAAACTTACTGAGCAGCATACTGCACCTCGAAATGCTCCGGCATCCCCTCACACGTCTCGGGCGCGCTTCCTCCCGCCGTCTCTACCCTATACACTTCCTGCAGTCCGCCCGTCGCTCCCGGGCGTGTAATCAACTTCAACCAAGCAACCGCCTTTTCACCTTGCTGGCCCCTCGGCGCCGCTTCTGGGGCAGGTGTACTGTTGTTCTTGGCACACGGCGCCTCACCAATCTTCCACTGCGAGGCATCCATGTTGAAAAAGGGCGTGGATGCGTTGGTGAAGTAGTGAGCGCCTGAGACGGCCATGCCGGAGGTGGGCGCGAGGGTCTGTTTGAGAAAAGAAGGAGGGAAAGGAAGGGCGGAAGCGACGGAGGAAGCGATGGAGGCTAGGTCGGAGAGGTTGAAGTCCAAGGAGACGGTCGACAACATGGCGCCGATGTCGGGGTAAGCGGAGACGATGCAGGAGGCGTTGAAAAGGGAGGCGACGGCGCCATTGGCGACGGGAGCCGCGGTGGGGGTGGAAGGGTCGCAGGTGTAGTTTTGGGTGCCACGGCCGAGGGCGACGTGGCGGAGGCTTAGGCCGAAGGAAGGGGGTGGAAGGGGGGAGGGAGCTGAGAGAGGGTGGGACTTTTGTTAGTATGAGCTCAGGTGAATGAGAGGGGATGGGTTGAGAGGCTTACCTTGGGGCATGACCACTTTGGAGAGGTCACATGTTGGTACGGCGCTCTCGAATTTGCTTTGTTGGATCTTGACCGCGAGGAGGTTGAAGTACTCTGATATCTTCTTGAGGGAGTCGGCGGGAGCTGAGTGGGCGTTGATCTCGGGGAGTAGTGGGGCGGCCATAACGGAGGAGACGCTGAGCGCCGAGAGGAATAGAGAGGCACGCATTGTGGTGTTGTGTTTGTTGTTGTGTAATGGGATTGAGAAAGATAATGAAGTAAGTTGTTGCTTTTTGTCGCCGCCCAATAATGAAAGCCGCCTTTCTGAGAAAACCAATAACCACCAGTGGTTCTTTTTGCTGCCGAGATTGGGTATCGTGATGATGATGATGAATAGGAAATTGTCGAAACCCGTTAAGAGACGAAAAGAACCCAGGAAAACCGTGATATAAGAAAACCCAAAAAGAAAACAACTGAAAGACGACCCTCAAAGAAACAATCCAACCAGTGAATATGCTAGTGAGATCAAATAAGAGGTCGGTAGAAGAAGGAGGAGGACGAGGAGGAGGCTCCAGATGGCAGATATATGAGAATCGGTATGGAAGGAGAGGATGTCGATCTTGACCCTCCATCATCTTCCCAGAAGCGGCGGCTTTGGAGGGCTAAATAGATTAAGCAGTCCCATCGACACGTTTGACTGGACCAGAGAGACGCAACGCTCTTACGGGACGGCGGCACACGGACATACACTCACCCATGTTTACACGCACTCACTCACACACTTCGCTTGGGGAGTACGTACTCAAAAAGTAGAGAAAACCATGGAGGGTATGGTAGCGCTACGCGGTACTACTCTACTATCCCTGACGTTCAAGGCATCCTGGATGACCGTGGATGCCCCTGGTGAGGGCACTGAGAGGAAACACTGCATGTTCAGTGGTTCGGTGGGCAGCCGCTGGTGCTCCCGTCGAAAAAGAAGAGCGTGGTCTGGAGGACGAAAGACAAGAGACCGTCAAGGGAAGACCGCAAGGCCCGAAGTCCGTCCCCTGTCCCCTTGTCCCCCAGAATTGGAAGGTTAGAGGTTGATTGGATGAACCCACACGAGTCCCTGGCTGTCAGATCCCCGTCTGATCCACTGCAAGCGCCGGAACCGTGCGCTAGTAGGGGCTCGCTGTGTTAGCGTACCACTTTATTTTGTGGTCCCTTGTTCGTCCTCCCGTCGTCATCATCCATCCTCTCCTCACAAGTTCCATGCACACCAGGTACGCAGTACACTAGGAGTCGAGTTGACGGTTAGACAGTCAAGATTCCCAGCCTTTCACAGTGGTTGTTATGTAGTGTAGTGTATCGTAATCTCTTTGCTTGGCAGGATGTCGAATGAAACCGTCATCGATAGCTGATACTGAAGATATTTGGATCAAGAATCGAGCGAGAGACGGAAAGATGGGGAAACAGCATGTGAACGAATTGTCGAGTTGAGCAAGCACATTTCATCCACCATCACCACCATCCACCACGTCTACCATCGTTTCGACCGCGCAGAATCTGGAACGTCTGAGCACTGAAGATCTTTCTCTATTTATCGTTAGCACCGCATCCAGTGTTCCAACCATCGTATCCCGTCCACGGGCGTCATGGCATCGACGGGTCCGGGGATCGGCATCGTGGCAGCATAGCAGCATGGCCGTCCGGTGATTGATCGGCCGATAAGTGCCGGTTGCCTTTTTAGCAAGGAACAGTAGGTGGTGTATTCTGTCAGTGTCAGTTTCGTTAAGCTCGCTAAGACAGAGAATAATCATCCAAGACGATACACCCATGAGGGGTTTTGAAGTGTAAGAGGATCTACCACCAGCTTTATCTGATTCACATCATGTCGAATGTGGGCAAAGAAGTCGGGGCCGCACCGATGGTCAGTAATCTACTTGATTCGACAAGTGTTTCTCTTGATCCTTCCTGTTCCTTCCTTCCTCTCAGCCAACTTCATTCCTCTACCACACAAAACGTGTTGCTACTATTCATCCGCAACAGTACACGGTCTACGGGTTCTCTCTTCCCTTCCCCTCCGCTGCCCCCCCTTCCACGAAAAAGAAAAAGAAAAAGAAAAAGAAAAAGAAAAAGAAAAAACAGAATCAAGAAACATGGAATGTCTCAAAGCCGATCTCCCGTCTGCAGGTCTTCCCCCTCGTCAGTCCTCCCACAGTAGTGTAGACATGCCGGTGCTCGAGGACCCCTGTTTACTGGTGTCATTGGACCACAGAGACCCATGTTTTAAGAATGTGGGCTAATAGTGTAGGATGGGCGGCTACATTTGTATGGAAGTTCTGCAAGACACTAGTCCAGGTGGGACGAATTAGTCCGACTTGCCTAGCTTCGCTATCGACCTGTCGTCGTGTAAGCCCAACGGCCGACCGTCCGCGCTGATTGATGTAACGTCAGATGAGAAGTCGCAATGCGGGCAAAAATAGATTTGCTTTCCTCGCTCCTTGCTTGCTTGCTTGCCTGGTTGCTTGCTTCTCCCAACCTTGTCCTTTTTTCCCTTCTTTCCGGGAATGGTACATGGTTCGTTGTATGCGGAAATAGGCGAAGTGATAGTTGGGCAAATATTAGGATCTGGACCAGTCTCTATGTAGCGAGTATTCGGTTCTTGCCAATAGGGCAAATTAGGTTGCTCATAGATGGGAGGTGGCATCGAAATCGAATACCTACATATCGAGGAAGGACGACGACCGACGAAAGAGGGGAAGCTAGTCCAGCTTGTTGATGTCGTCATGAAGCTTGGAAGGAGAGCTGTCATTGGACACAGATCAGTGTCGCCATGACAAACCAAGGTACGGATGCCGTGTTGCCTGTCCGTTCGGCTGTGGTGGAAGGTTACTTGCGATCTTACAAGTTCAGACACCAGAAAGTCGAGTCAATGCTTGCGAGAAGTGTCCTGGAGATGTCTGGAAAAGGATGAGAACAGATGTCAACTTGTTGAAGGAGAATATTGTCCAAATTGCCTACTTAGCGAAGTCATGCTCTTGATAGGGCGAACGTTGAAAGCGAGGAGAATTACTGAGTGTTGTTCATTACTGTTGAAGAGTAACTCCGCCTGGAAGAAACACCGGCTCATCGACAGCCTAAACAAGTTAGACACCCCACATCACCAAACCTCCCTTACATCTACACATTTTCATCAGCCTCATAACGAATCTATCACAAGTGTACTTTACCTTTTACCTTTTTATCTTTTCAAATTTATTTTTTTTTCTGGGTTTAGGACACCTTGGCATCCATCTTCCCACACGAAACCAAACTACCTAGTAGCATATGTAGGTACTTCTAAAAACCCAAAAAAAGTCATACTTACCATCACCACGAGGAAAATTAGATTGCCCACCCCTACCTTACCGACTCCAACTTGCCATGCATATGAAGATCTCGCCTATGGGAAATCGCAAAGCATGGTGTCATCTTGATTTGCCCCATTAGAACTTCGGAAATAACGGTGCCACGACAGGACACCTGCAATCATGGAGGGCGGCCGCGGTAGACGGCCGGCGTCTATTTTGTTCAATGGCCAACCAGATGGGTTTGCGCTGTACCGTCATTGGGTGGACGCGTGTTGTGGTACAGCGAGAGTGTACAGGTACAGTACGTAGGTGCGTAGCGATGATAGATAGATGGGATGGAAGTTGAGGAACAAATGGAAAATAGGTGGTTTCTTGGGAGATATAGTAGTTGGCTTCCATAGGTGGGTTGAGCGGGCGGGAGTGACGAGATCTTGTTCCTATGCAGTTGTCGTATCACGCGGGATGGCACTTTCTGCTTGCTTAATTGACCGATCACCGCTGCTTGGTCATGGAGATCTTCCAAAACTGAAGGTATTATACAATAGTCAAAGTTATCTCTCCTAACTGAGCACTCGACTCGCTTCGCAACCACCCTCTTGAAGCCTTCGCTGGCACCAAAACCCAGCCCAATAAGGGAGCACTCTTCATGGACCACAACGAAGCCACCACATGGATCCGAAGGAAGCCCTCAGATCTGATGGCCAACCAGGCATGTCAGGCTCACTTCTCTGGCCTAGTATTCCCGCAGGCGCTCACGGCACGGTGGCTCAGATCTTGGCCTTCCCGTAGGACCCTCCAAGACCTCCTTTTTCATCTTGTCACATCCGAATTCCGACCACCTTCCATAGCACTACCGCTCCAATCATCCATTTTTTACTACATGATGTACTTGCTTGATATTGATATGGTTGTTTCGAAACAAGACCAGCATGTGAGCGCAATCTCTCTTATCGATCCAAGAAAAAAATAGGCGCAACGCCGAATTATCCGTTCCAGGCGCCCACTGGTACGTCTCAATCATGTTTACCGCTTCGATATGCAGTTCCTTAACGTCATCCCATCATTCTTCCTTCCGCCAATTCTTCTCGGGCGGATGGTGTTTCGATCGGTCCTACCGATGACTAAACCCTTCCTCACTCCACTCCCCACCACTACTCCTTCCTGCACCTCCCGCCGCCGAACCCACGGCACCGACTGCCGCAGTCACAACATGCTGATCTGCATCCGCCGAGCCCATCCAATACAGTGAGAGGAATACCAGCACATGTAGCGCCACGCAGTACGCTGCAAATAGGTTTCTGCTCGTCCTCGTAGCCAACACCATCCTCGTAATAGAGTACACCGCCCTCTCTGGCAGACTCATCCGCTTGTACGCCCTAGCAGACTCGCGGCCCCTGAATGCCGCAAAGGGCGAGATGTTGGACTCGTACGCCTTTCTGTATCGGTCCAGTGCTACGCCGCCGCCACCGTGGTTCCCGTCGCTCCCGCTTGTTGCGCCGAAGGAGACAGCGGATGGGTTAGGGTTCGATGAGAAGGAGGCTGTCGAGGTGGCCGACGCCATGCCGCCTCCAGCGCGGTTATAGCTGGACACGTAACGCGTCTTCTCGTAGAGGTTCAGGTTGTCCCGCTGGAGAGCAGCGATTTCTTGTCGTAGTTGGGACACCGTCTTGTGGGTCTCGGACAGCTCTTGCTCGAGCTGGGCATTGCGCTTCTTGAACCGGTCGCGCTGCGCGGTGATCATGGGGAGAATGCCACCAGCTCCGCCGCCAGCAAAATCGGGCGAGTCGCGATCGGCACCGCGGGGGTTGAAGCCACTCACGATCGAAGAGGTAGGGGATATCCTGCCACCGCCCAACTTCCGTGTGGGTGCGATCGAGGGGGCATAGCGGGCGACAGATGCTCCCGAAGGGAAAGCATTGGGCGCCTCAGCTTGGATGGTCGAGAGCTCATCTTCAAGCTTCTCGTTGAGGTTTTGCGACTTCTCAAGCTCGGCATTCGTCCGAGATAGCTCTTCCTGCAAGTCTTGAAGGCGAGTTTGGAGGTCCTGGTGCGAGACGCGCAGGATGGTCAGCTCATCATTGAGCTTTTTGTTCCGCGCGAGGAGAAGCTGCTCGAGCGTATCCCCCTTTTCTCTCGCCTCGTTGTCTCCGTCGGCATTATCGCCCGAAACCGCTCGTACCGCGTCGTCGTCATCACCTGTTGCAAACTCGATGCTCTTGAGAACTTCTAGCTCCTGCTTCACATCGTCATAGTCTGACCACTTTTGAACCTTGGCCTTCAGCGCGTCCCGTTCCTCCTTGAGTAAGCCGACCTCTCTCTCCAGCCCACGGAGCTTGGTGTCCAGCTCTCTCTTCAGTGCTTCTTTGTCCACTCGCGCCGCGTCCAGCTTGCGGATCAGCGACGAGTTCTCCGACCTGACGCGCAGATATCCCGGGTCGTCCTCCAAAGAAGTAGCCGGCTGTGCGGAAACCTGCGACTTTGATTGCGCAAGCTCAAGGCGCAGTTGTTCGTTGCGGGCTTCCACCTCGGCAAGTCTCGTACTTGTGCGCTCCAAGTCGGACTGGACCATGTCCAACTCAGCGCTCGTAACGTGACCGGTCTGTTCCTCGGCATCATCAGATTTGCCCAGCCTCTGGTTGACTTCGTAGCTAGCCTTGAGCTCGCTGAGTAGACGGTCCTGGTTCTCAATCTTCTCCTCGAGTGCCTTCTCCTTGGCCGTCCAGTTGTCCTGCTTCTCCTCGAGCACGGCATTCCACGAAGACTCGACCTCCCTGACCTTGGATTCCAATTTCTCCTCTAGCTGTCTTCTGGCGTCGGACTCTTTCTGAAGTCGAGATTCCGTCTCTTCAAGCTGTGATGTGAGCTTGGCCACGTTTTTCTGCAAGTGGTTGTTCTCCTCGGTGAGCTTCGGTAGCGTGTCTTCCGAGACAAGCATCGAGTCGACCGATGCCTCGAGTAGCGGGTACGGATCTGGCGCTTCGGATAAGGATGTGTAGGCGTGGAGAAAGGCCGAGTTGACAGACTTGGAGTGGTTCGTCAGGAGGTCGATAAAGCCCTGGTAGGCTGTCGTTGTTGTGGTGTTTGTGTTAGTCCACTAACTTTGGGAGCCGGCGTTGTCCTCGGGTGAGATGTTGCGTACCTTTGAGCAGCCCCTTGATCTCTCCCAGCTTGGTCGCATCGTCTAACTTGCGAAAGTCCTTGGTCTTTTGTGCGAGGTCCTTTCTTTGTACGGTCGAGTCCCGTTGGAAGGTAACGATTTCTGACGCCGTGTTGTCCAGATTCGAGACTAAGGAAGTGAAGTCGAGACCTAGACAAGGTAGAGTCAGAAAACACCAGCTGGAAGAACCGCTTCAAGACTGGGGAGTATAGACCGTCGTACTTCTCCATTGTGAAATGGCACTTTGGAACTTGTTTGTCGCATTCGGGGCGTCTCCTCCTCCTCCTCCTGCTCCTAGAGCCTCCGGGCTGATGACATCCGCCATAGTGTATTTGCCTGCTTGCGCAGTGCTCAAGTCCTTATTACGAGACCTAGGCCGGCTTAGGGTTGGGATTGCATACAATTAACGGTGTTGGGTTGTTGTCTGTCGGATACTGTACCTTCTCGAGGGATGTGGTATCGATGTCGGGAGATGATATGTCAAACGGTGATGCATGCGTGGCAGGCAGTGTTCAGCTTACATCGGACACCAAACACCAGCCGACCGCCCGTCACTGAGGTGTTTCTAGGTACCTATGCCGCTCACGTTGGTCCGGGCTTCATGCCACTGGGCCCCCGCCGACGGGAGGCAAGATCGACCCGCCTGGAACTGTCCCACAGGGGGCAGCACCAACAGCCCCAGGCCAGGAACAGCGGAGCACAGGGAAAGCCCAGCGTCGTCACCTCCACCAACAGCCCACTGGACTTACAGGGGTCCTCACTACACTGGTAGGTACTACTGTAGATATACATGTACGTAACTGCCTGAAGGTGTCCCGCATCAGCTCCCATCCCGCAGCCGGTGACATCGATCCGGTCTTCCTCTTGACTTGCAACTTGCGAAAAGCTTCAAGGACAACAACACACAGCTACGTGCTACAGGTCGCATTGCGCAAATCCGCCTTTCTCGACCCGGCATGCCCAGGTAACAATGTTGTCGAAGCTGCACCGGAATGGCACCCGCACCCGCAGCATCCCCCAAGCCCATGGCAGCCGGTCCATATGTCTTGCGGCCCTTGCTCCACGATGTTCCTCTATCGGCTGAGGGTAACGACGAGGACATCAAGATCAACTGCGTCGACTACTTGGGTGAGCTCCTCTATGGTCTCGAAACTGCTGTCCATGCGCCCAGCCATACTGACACCCTGCTTTGCGCCCAACCCAGACGGTAACCTGTATGTGGGAACCTCCGCATCCGAACTGCTCCATTTCTTCCGCATACCGCGCGATCCCAACGATCCAAACAGTACCGACACCTTCATCCTCGCGTCGAGACTACTCCCTGCTTACTCGGAAACCTCCGGCTCGCCCAATGGCCCGAAACCGGGTGTCCAGCAGATCCTGTTACTGCCCCGCGTAGGCAAGGCCTGTATCCTTTGCAACTGGACAGTCACTTTCTACTCGCTACCCGAGCTGAGCCCGGTTTTTGGGACCACCCAAGTCAGGAACTGTAACTGGATTGGAGGTGTGGACTTGAACGAGGATTTCGAATATCCAGGGGCCGCCGTCACCATTCTTCTTTCGCTCAACAGACGCATACAGGTGGTGAGGATTGGGGACGATGCTCGTGTCATCAGGAAGATCGACTTTGCCGGGAGTACTCTCTCGGTGCGGAGGGACTCAATAGCATGCGTTGCCGATTCCAGAAGCTATGCTTTGCTGGACGTTGATCGGCAGCTCAAGATCCCGTTAATGAGCATATCCTCCCTGGATGACTCGGCTCCGGGAGGGCAATATGGCCAAACCCAGAATATCGCAGGGCCCCCCGAAAATGGAGGTCACTCGAGGAGCGCATCATCGGCGACAGCAAGACTCGCCCCTGCTGACTTCCAGGGCCACTCAAGAAGCACAAGCTTGTCAGGGTTGATAGGGAACATGCGTGGGAATCAAAGACCGCAAGGAGAGCAAGAGGATCCTGTATTTCAGCAACCTGGCACACCAAAAGCTTCCTCCAATCCAGAGTCCAACCCCAGCCCAGGTTCAAAAGATGCGGACAAACCATTACCTCCTCCCCCACTAGATTCGGCGGCATCTCTAGCGTCCCAAGCTTCTGGCCCAGGGGGAGTCTCGCCGGCACGCATAGCATCGCCTAAACCGCAACCTGGATTAGTCTTTTTGAAGCCACATATTGTGTCCCCCACCTCAGAAGAGTTCCTGCTTGTAACAGGAACAGGACCCCTTGACCCCGGCATCGGCATGTTTGTGAATCTGGATGGCGAGCCTACGAGGCCCACCGTTGAGTTCGAGAGATATCCACGGGAGATTGCTGTTGATGGGGGTGCGCCCGACGTTTCATCTCCAGGGGCATCGACGATGGGCCGTGAAGATGAGGGCTATGTCTTTGCTTCTATGGGAAAGGAGTTCGAAGATGGTGTACATCAGGGCTTGGAGATCCAAAGATTCGATGTCAGCGTCGGAGAAGATGAAGCAGAGAAGTTTTGGCTGGAAGTGCCTAACAAGGATGACTCAGCTACTGCTGCTGCTACCAACGCCCCTATAGGCATCAGATCACTCTTGGCTAGCGAAGAGATGCAGTTTGAGGAAGTAGTCAAACGGCTTTGTCAGAGGAGGTTTTCGCCCTTCAATGGGGGTTCTGCAACACATACTGTGTCCACAAAGGGGGCCGACTCACGTACGGCATCCTCCATAGAGCGACTAGCACGAGAGAAGGAACTATTTGATCGAGACCTTGGATCGGAAGAGGAGCCGCTGCCGGAAAACTGGGAGACGGTGCGGAACAGAGAGAACGAGGAATTCGTACGCGTGCTGGCCAAAAGCTCGTCACGCCTTGCTGTCTGGACAGGGGCGAACATATGGTGGGCTGTTCGGAACCCCCTGTTGCTTCAGTTGGAATCGAACTTGGAGTTGGCAACATCTAGAGAACAACAGAGCAGCGCAAACAGCTCGGAACAGAAAACAGAACTTCTCGGTCTCATAAAAACCATCAATAACCGGGAGCCCAAGACAGAGCTTGAGTTTATGACTCTCGGATACGTCAAGCAACGAGCCAGCATCATGCTTGTCACTCACTTTCTAAACTCTGCCGAATCCCCCTTTAGCAATTTTGAGGTCAGGCAAATGGAAGCAAGTCTGCTTGACGGTGACTTAGACGCAAGAGTTGTCTTGTCACTAATTCCTGCTCTTCGAAACGAGATCGTTGTGGGCCAAAAGGGCATTTGGGTTTATGGGGGAATCAAATCTCTCGTCGAAGAGTACATCGCAGCGGAGAAGGACAAGGAAGTTACGCAGACGGTCGATGCGCTACCTCGACATGTGCTGGACTTCTTACGCCGATTCCTCACAGCTTGGAGAAACAAAAGGGGATTCGGCAGTATTTCGGCCGAGATCTTTCGGACAGTGGATGCGTCTCTGCTACTAGTACTCCTGGAGCTGGACAAGAACACACCTGTAGGCAAGTCTGGCGAGCCTGGTTCGCCTCGAAAGGAACTGTATGAACTCGTGGACCACGGAGTCGACTGCTTTGATAGGGCGATTAGCCTGCTAGAGGGATACCGCCGCCTGTATGTTCTCAGTCGGCTCTATCAGCAACGTAAGCTGTCGCCTTATGTGCTCAAAACATGGAAGCGCATTATCGAAGGGGAAGAGGACCGGGGCGGCGAGCTGGGGAGCGACGGCGAGTTGCAAGTCAGGAGGTATCTCAGCAACATCAGCAGCCAGGAGCTGGTGAAAAAATACGGTGTCTGGCTTGCTAAGCGTAATCCCAAGCTGGGTGTCGAGGTTTTTGCCGACGATAAAATCAAAGCACCAAAGTTGGTGCCCACTGAAGTAGTTGCCCTTCTAAGAGAAGAGGCACCCGATGCAGTCAAGTACTATCTCGAGCATCTCGTGTTCAGAAAGGGCAGCACGGCCTATATCAACGAGCTGATCACGTACTACCTCGACATTGTCATCAACGACCTACAAAGCTCACCAGAATCCCGAGCGACCGTCACGGCCTCATATGAAGCCTACCGCGCCTTGCGCCCTCCGAAACCCACATATCGCCAATTCCTAACCGACAACGCCCCTCCAGACAATGAAGCCTGGCAAAGCCGACTCCGACTTTTGCAACTCCTAGGCGGTGCGAATGACTACGACGCCGGCGCCATCCGCCAGCGCATCGACTCCTCCCTAGCAGAGTTCTCTTCAGAGCACGGCGTATCACACACCTCGAAGCAGAAGCAGCAGCAACCACAGCAGAAACAGCGTCTCCTTGTTCCCGAAGCCATCATTATCAACGGCCGCCTCCACGATCACGAAGACTCCATCCGCCTGCTCGTCCACCACCTAGGCGACTACGACTCCGCAGTCTCTTACTGCCTAAGGGGCGGCCTTTCCCTCTCTTTCAACAACAGCACGGCGCCTGCCCAGCCAAAACAGCCTCTACCCAGCAAGGAAACCCAGTCCCACCTCTTCCACGTTTTGTTAGCCGAGTTCCTCGCCATCGAGGACCTCAGCGACCGCGTCGAGCAGACGGGCGCGCTACTCGAGCGGTTTGGCGGCTGGTTTGATGTTTTGGAGGTCTTGGGGATGATTCCGGACGGCTGGTCTGTGGATGTCGTCGCGCATTTCTTGGTGATGGCGCTGAGGAAGCTGGTGGAGGAAAGGCATGAGAGTTTGGTGCAGAGGGCGTTGAGTGGGGCGGAGAATTTGAGGGTTGGGTATGAGAGTGTGGTGAAGATGGACGAGATTGGACCCACGGTTGTTGGTGGTGGTGATGGGGAGAAGGGAGGTGGAGGGCATGAAGCGGAGGAAATGCAGGAGATGGAGATGGGGGACATGGGAGGGAGAGGGGTCGGTATTGGAGTTGATGATGACCAGTTTGCCTAAGGTTCTTTTCCTTTCCTTTTTATATTAGCGAAACTTTGAAGCAGTTACCAAGGCCCTTTCTGACTATGCAAATTTGGAAGGGACAATACTTTTTTTTTTCATGAGTTTACCGACCACAACAGTAAGCGGTCGGAAATTCAAACGAAGCAAAGCATGACACAAAGTGGTTGGTTGTGGCCGGAGCGTATGGCTGGCCTATACAGGATGTACATTTAAAGCACTTACTCAACAACGGTTGTATAGTGTAGCGGTTATCACTCCGGATTCTGAAATCCATCAGAACATTCCGGCAACCCCGGTTCGATTCCGGGTACGACCTTCACTTTTGATTTTTTTTCTTCTTGTTTGACACTCTTTTCTCGTTCAAAACTCTTTATTATGGCTTCTCCTGCATTTTTCTGTATTTCGGTTCGTTCTTCGTTATTGAACAAGTAGAACGGATATATCAAATTTGCTCGATGTCAGGACCGAGCACAGCAGGCCCGCCTCATGCCTGACTGCACGACCAACAGCACCTGTTTAACTGTCCGACGTTAAAGGAAGGAATCAGTTAATGAATTGAAAGGCACGCCGTATACTGTTGAAAGGAGGCCATCGTGAATATCGCCCGCACATGAGGGATCCATGACTGCCGAGCAACTTGAAGGAAACACTGGAAGCTATTTACGAAGATAAGCCAGACAGTTGGCTGGAAATCTGGCTGGCTCCGAGAAACGTGCATGTAAACCCACGACCCCAGCCTTTTCGCACTCACTCTCTCTTTATACCCATATGTTTAGAGCAATGTTGATCTGGTATTGGTGAAATAGCGCTGAGGTGGTGAGTCGCTCTTCTCCTTCGCATGGCCGAATACCTTTCCGCTCTGCAGTACACACCTTTCGTCACTTTTTGCAAAACCAAAGCGGTACCGCCGTCACGATCGACTTCCAAAAAATACATGCTTTCTACGTGCCGCTCTTTGTTCGGTACGATGCTGGGTACTTCCATCATTGCTATCCCTTCAAATGGATGAAGATCCTCATAGTCCCACGTCCCTGCACAAAACAATGCGTGGGGATCAGAACGTGTGCTGCGAGTAACAGTCGCCCTGCAAAGCATAACCCTCAAGATTAATTCTTTCGTTGGAACCCCGAGAACCAAAAGTTCGGTTTTCTCAGCGTCCAGGAAGTCGACGGCACCAATGACAGACGCCCAGGACCATGAAGGCGCGGCTCCCTCATGCGACCTTCTCAAGCTACCGATTCCAACCGGATACAGTAGCTAAGCGCTACAGAGCGAGGAACCGTAGTGGGCGAGCGAATGTCAGCCGAGAAATCCACAAAATTCAACTTTGGAACAGGTCCGTCGCCTGATGTCCGGAGCAGTCATTTCGGACGCAATAGGTGAAAGGATGAAGGTCGCCCAAATCGGCTTGAACTAGGGTATTGTGGACATTGGTTGAACCACCTTCGTATTAATTCAAGAGATGACTTCGAGGCCGGATGTATATTCGGAGTCCTGGTCAAGACCTCTCGTGCCGCAGGATCACTGTGATCTTTTCGGCGTGATGGTTCCATGTAACGAGCAAGGACAAGTCGTAATTGATACTGACTCTTGATTTGCACAAAGTATTACCTTTGCGCAGTCGGTCACTTCCACCATGGCGTTAGTGCGCTCACCAGCTTCGTCCAGGACCATCATCGAAGTTGTCTGCGGACACATCCGCAAGTACATAGCCTTACTCCTGAGGCTCTTCCTGCCAGTCTTTTTCCAAGACCCCCGAGACTTCTGGCTCATATTCCATCCGATTCCAGGACTTGTCCACACCTAACAAATTCCCTTGCACCTTGGCCGCACCCTTTTTCCCAGTCCCCTTTTTTTTTGCCAGCCCGACCAGATGGCCGATAAAGCCCGTCCACAGCACCAAAGGACCATAGCCAAGAAGCGTATCTCCTATCAACCCACTGGAGGGAAAGATGAGTTTTGACCGAGCCACTATGTTCGCCTACCAAAGCAAGTAGTTGGCCCTGACCAAAAGCGTCCTGAACCGGAGGCAACTCGGTAATAAACCATTTCAGACACAATCATCCATCACCCTTATCTGGCGATGAATCCTCTGAAAGCGCGACAGCTTCGTCGTAGAGGAGGTCAAACATGTACACCTCCGGGCCCGCAACCGTGCGGCCAACGGCGCTTCCGTGGAAGGAAAAGATGAGCTTTGACGAAAAGCATTTTGCGCGACTATAGGGTTCCGGCGAGATAAGTGTTGGGCATCGCTTGTTGACTTACTGCCAAGGTATCTTGGATGATGCATCAACCGTGGTGCCGAGTTCAGGTACGGAAACATGACAATGAGGCCATGGGAGCTAGGTATCGATAAGCCCTCCGTTCTTCGTCTGTAAATTCACAATCAGGTAGCTGTCTCGTTGAGACCCTGCCAGTCTCACGAGGAGCTGTGTAGCATGGGGAGTTTAATTGGGCATGATGCCGCCCACTGATCAATTATCATCGACCTGAGAGCTGAACAATCACTCAAGCTGTTCTTGTCTGCCATTGTGCCCGGTCTGTGGTAGGGAAAAGAAGTCAGAGTCAAGCTTGACCCCGAATGGAATCAACATCCTTGAGAACACACAAAAACCGAAGTGCGCGCAGGTCACTGCATGTCGAAAGAAGCAACGAAAAGAAAAGAAAAGAAGAAGGAGCGAAGTTCCAGTGTCACAACCTAAGTGCGGGGTACCAAAAGAAGTGGAAAAAGGAAAGGGGTAAGAGCTCCATAAACAGTTGGAGCATTCCCCACCCTATCTATACAAACCACCTTCTGCAATGTGTCTGTTATCAAATGGCCCGCTGGCCAAATGGTAAGGCGTCAGATTTCGGTTTTCTATCAAAAAACAAGAAACTCTCTCTGAAGATTGGGCGTTCGAGCCGCCCGTGGGTCGATTCATCTTTTTGTGTCTTTTGGTTTTTTGTTTTTGGTATGTTGGTTGGTGCTCGAGGTGGTGATGTCTGTTTTAGGGATTGTGTTTTGGAGAGGTTAGTCATTCTGCTGTACTGCGCTGTGTTGAACTGTACCCATAAGCTTACACACATGTGGCCCCTTGTTTGCTCAGGACTCGCGTCACTTTCGCTTTTCTACCCATTCTTCTTTCTTTTGCAGTTTTCCCCTTTGTTTTATCTTTGACGGCTCAGTTCACGGGATAGTGCCTGGATGTCACTCTTTTCTTGTTTCCCCCCTTGGGTAGCCCTTGTTGTGGAAGCGTGGGTAAGGGGAAATGTAGTTGCTAATGTGGCCCGCGGGGTATCATAACTTCCTGCTCGCCATCTTTCGCAAAACACGGCATGATCGAGGATAGGTCACAGAATTGACAATGTTCCCCGAGGGATCCAAGGGCAAGATGACCATCATGGAGATTTGCGGCCCCAGACCCTTGACGCAACAGGTCAAGTTCGAGGAACAGCCGAGCTCGCGAAGGAGAATGATGAACTTTGTGTCGGTGATATGTTCAGTTCGAAGTTACATGGAAGGATCGGAAGGACCTCAGACACGAGACACGAGTCACAAGGCCCTACCAAGCCAGAGGTATTGCGTCGGAGAGAAAGCGTTCAAACATGTTGTCACCTGTCCCCAAGTTGCCGGCACACCTTGGCATCAACTAATGTCAGAAATGATTGGACCTATGCGCTGAGCTGTTAGGACTGGTAGGATCGCAAAACTCCGACTGGGGTTTCGACGATAAACGGCAGCCTGGCGAGCCCAGAAAGTGCTGGAGATGTAAAGGGTTTGGCGATAAACCAAAGTTGAGGCTCTGAGGCTGAAGTGCTAACCACTTTGTCTTTTGTCATCTAATTTGAGTGTTCTTGATACTTCAGTTGTTTCTGCTTCTATATCAGCCAAAGCGCTGTAATCACTCGACCAAACTGCTCGTTGCTTTTATAAGTCAGGCGGACGGAGAAACAGACGAGCCTGCATCGTCATTGAGCAGCATCCGTGTCATTTTTCTGCCAGCAGTAAGTCTGGAAGGGCGATGTAAGATCCTTTCATTGTGAAATTTCAATGAATCCAAAGCACCGTGACCTGTTCATCGATGAGTGTTCGATATGAAGATTGGAGATGATGGACTCTGGGAAGTCGGTTGACTTGATGCCCTGCCTGCCGGGAACCCCAGCATTGGGTGGAAAACAGCACCATGCCCGATTAGGAATGCAGCCCCCTTTGCCGAAAGCACAGGCCATCTCAGCTCTCGGCCAGCGCAGGCCGAACGCCAATGGATTGAGGCGATGTGGCATTTGGTGAGGCGACTGGAAGGAAGGTGACAGCTTCCCGTTTCCCCCAATTTACGAACGCGACTTCTTTCCACTTTCTAGACTTATTCCACTCTTTAATCCACCACAACATCGACCTTCTTCCCGTCCACGACTCCTTTCTCTTCTGACCAACGCAAATTCGCCTTCCTTATCCTCCCAACATACAACACAATAATTCACAATGGCCGACCAATTGCAAGAGATCCTCGACGTGCCCCGCGAGTTCCTCAAGGACGGTATCCAGTTCATCAAGAAGTGCCAGAAGCGTAGGTGATTCGGCAATCCAACCGTTGCGCTACCCAACAGCATCGATGCTAACTGTAGTTCTCCTACAGCTGATCGCCGCGAGTTCATCAAGATCTCCCAGGCTGTTGGTACTGGTTTCTTGAGTAAGTTCTTCCCTGTTCCTTGTCGCTGTTCTCGGAGCACCAGCTAACATCGTCACAGTCATGGGTGTAAGTTGAACGCAAACCACATGTATACGATATAACACAGCTCTAACATGATTTCTACAGGCTGTCGGCTACCTTGTCAAGCTCAGTACGTATCGCTCTCTCTCCCCGACCCCTAACGTTCAATACAAGCTAACATCCGCAAAGTCCACATTCCCCTCAACCAGGTCCTCGTTGGCGGCGCGTAAGCACTCCACGTATTTCGACGAAAAGGAGCAGAAACGCGGACGAAGTTTTCACCAAGAATCGAGGGACAAGATACCCATGAATGCTTTTTTCACGACATGGACGGACGACGGAGATCCAAACACACAGAAGGATGAGACCTTGAAGGGCTGGGTCAAAAGAACAACGGCACCGGGCGCCTTCGAACGATAATCGGTGGGCATGGAGAGATGGGGATAAAGAAGATGGAAAAGATATCCTATATGCAGGTGTTTGTCACGGGGTCGACCGACGCCTGCTTATAATTTCCACCTCGCCTGGGACGAGATGACGGGTACCCTTGAGGCGATTGTATAAAATCATTTGATGGCGAATTGGCGGGGGGCATATGCGGAGAAGGTTTTAATACTTATGGGAAATGAATGGCGCTTTGTTTGAACAGCAACTCTACTGGGCACAGCGTATGCGTGACGAGATATGGCGGTGCAACGGCTTGGTCCTGGTGGCGGAGAACAACAGTGCTGACTATCACAGAAACTGTCTTGACAATCACTTTGCGTGGATGGTCCAGCAATACGTCATTCGGGAGTCTTGCGAAGGAAACAACGTTGCGCGGTCAGATGGCAACTCCAGCCTTCTATCACACGGTTGTACAACATACCCTGGAGAGTTTCGTTTACACGAGACGAGTTATCAAGTTTCCAGGCTCCTTTGAACTTAAGTAAGGTCCAAGCTAACAAAAAAAAAGCAGCCTTGGGCTGACTAGTTGCAAGGGGCACCGTACTTTTGTGATATCGAGGGAAAGCAAAACCCCGTACAAAGATAAAGGGTAGGCACTCAACTTATGATATCTTTTCACTAAGTCAATCTCCTACCATTCCAGTCCTAGTCACGTACCAAGACCACTGTTGAAGTGTCATGGGTTCGATATGTCTACTACCTAAGTAGGACCAACGACATACCCCCCAGCAAACCGTCATCTCCAACCAAATCCCAAGGCGTCAGCCATGTACCCTCCACGAGTCAATGGCAGGCTTCCTGACGTGTCCTTGTGTATCCACTTTCCCTAACGGAAGCATTGACCATGGATTCTCCAGCATTGGACAGTCGAAGTCATGGAACTCTCTCGACGCCAGCAACTCTCAATCATCGATCACAATTGCCTGCGAACTCCAGGCACCTCGACCGGACAGCTGAGGGCACGTGGTATTCCAAGCCATATCGAAAGCGTCTTCAATGATGTTTTCCCAGACTACGGCCATGTTACGTTTTGCCGCGTTCCTGGCCAAAATCGAGCAGTTGAAGATGAAGGCTTGGTGCTTGAACGGCGACAACGCTGGTCTGTTGGCCAGGAGACCTAACCAAACACGGTGGCTGATTTCGCGAATATGCTGCTTGGTAATCTGCCCCTTGTTAGCTGATAAGGTATTGTCATTTTTGAGGAATATAGGGACTTGGAAGGATGCTGTGGCTGGGGTTTACATGGTCAGGGCAAAAAATACAACTTACCTGGCAAGTTCCTGCGATCTCCTCAACCTCATATTCGTCAAGCCCGTCATTTGGGTCATCCGGGTAGAGCAGACGCATGGTCAATTGGAAAGCCCTCGACTGCTCAATGTGCTCGGCATAGGAAGAATTCTGCCCAACCTGCGCCGACGTCCTCAACACCTGAAGCTCCTTAGTGACTCGAACGGCCGAAGTCTTGTCTCCACCTTGACAATTGTCAGTGTCCAGAAGAGGAGCGCAAAAAGCAGTTATCCTTTGCTTCCACGCTGCCCGCCTTTTCTTATGCTGGCTCTCTTGCACCTCGACCGGGTAGCCAGTAAACTCTTGGTAATAAGCCACCCAATCATTCACGGTTTGGGGAAGGCTGAGGAAAGTCCATGATTTTCCCTCCTTGTCCGAGACCAGAGCAAACAGATTGCATCTCTCAGCGCGGGCTTTGGTGCAGACAAGATGAGACGCCCACACGTTTGTCTCCTCCTCCTCCTCCTCCTCCTCCTCCTCCTCCACCTCTCCTTCTTGTTTACCGCCGTTACTGTCCGAGGTGCATTGCTTCGGCTTGGGCGCTTTTTCGCTACTGTCCGGAGAGTACAGCAGTTCACCTACGACAAGGAAGAGATCGCCTTTAGGGGCTTGGGCGACGTCTAGTTGCGCGATGGTCAGTGGGCTTGGGTGGTGGATTGCTGAATTCTTAGCTGACTGCCGTAATCTCGTCAAGTTCTCGGTGGCTTTGCGACTTGAGGTCTCAGACTTCGAATTTGGCGCGGCTTTAATTATCGCCCATTGGGGACGGTTGGGAGTCAGAACATGGTGCTTGTAGAGATGGGAGGTGACGGCGATGTCCATGTTCAATTTGAAGTCAGAATGGTCTCAGATGCTGTCTGGTGTCAGAAGTTGGGGTTGTGGTTGGTGATGGGTTTGAGTGTATCTGCTGGAGGGAAAAAAAATCGGTATGTTGTAGGTCAAGAAGAAGAAGAGGTGAATCTAGATTTGGTTACAGGTAGAACTTGGGTGGACTCAACGGTCGCTTTAAGAACGCAAGCTGTGCAGGTCTTGAAGAAGATGGGACGAGAGAGGAGGTTGCCTGCTTTACTGAAGAATACTACTCACAGAGTTGCAGAACCTTGAGCCAGAATGGGATGAGAGACACTTGTTGTTTGCTTTCGAGTTCTGAGTACGGAGACACTTTTATCAGGGTGGGATGAGAGTCTTGTTATTTACCCCCAGGTAATGAATGCCGCCCAGAAGGGAGAATAGTTGATAAACTTGGAGGAAGTGTGGATGACTTGAGGCGAGAGTGGCTTGTTTTGACTAGAAGCGCAGTCCGTAGGGTTGAATAGCAGGGAAATCTGAATGGAGTTAGGAGGACATTCTAGTTGGAGTTTAACATTAAGATGTCACTGACTTAACTTCGTTCAACCACACCACCCACGGGACCAGATATTCTGGGTCATGTTCTCCAACCCCGACGCAAAGCAATCTGAAGTTTTGGGGATGGAAGCAGGTGAGACTGGACGGTAAACATTGTTTAAGAGGTCGGGACAAGAGCCAACATTCAGATATGAATTTCAGAATGACAGATACGTTCCCGATGAGAACATACAGCATATATACTTGCTGCTGGGTGTCATACGGAACCTGACGAAACAAAAACACCTCTACCAACGCGCAAGACTTCTAGGGTCCCTATACTAAAGAGCAAGGGAAATTGAAACTCGTTTACCTCCAAAACGTTACAAGTCCTTAGATCGTAGAGATAGAGCGAACTCGTCACAATCAAAACATCATACCTTCGGAATACTCTTACACACACGGATTCGCTTTTATCATAGCTTGAGCCCTGGTCCTCAGTAGTTCCTGGATGGAAAAATCATTTTGGCCTGCGTGCTTCAAGATTACTGTAATCCCTATCACAGTTTGGTGACGGCCTTTCCAACCGCAGCGAGCAATGCGGTATCGGACTGTCCGTGTTGGGTTCGATCTTATAATTGCTCGCCAGTGTCCATCATAACTTCTCAACGTGAAGTCACCACTGCTCTTTCCTGGTACTTTCTGATCTGCAACTTCAACTTCTCGTCAGTGTTATGCCGGGTATGCACTTTTCACTTTGTAGAGGGATAACCGAAAAAACAACAACAAATATCACAAAAGTGTTACGTTCAAAATATGATTGTTCGAGATAGTATTAGTATGAATGAATGAAAAAAAAAACAAAAAGTTTGACTGAAGCGTGATTCGAACACGCGCCTCTTGCGAGACTAGAATGCACTTCACATCAGGTGTGAAGAAGAACTTGGTTCTTGAGTCTAGCGCCTTAGACCGCTCGGCCATCCAGCCATTGGAAATTGTTGAATGATTGACCAAATGAGGTGCTTATAACTATCCAAGCAATGAATATGCACCACTTCTGTCCTTATCGTCATTTCTCTTACCACCTTTTGTTTTTCTTGTTGCTTAACATCCTCTACTAGCACCTGCAGCATTCCATCGACGATTAGTTGTCTTGGACGTGATGGGGATATCTATGTACCTCTGTTGTCTCGCGTGCTTCGAGCGTGGGCTCTTCGCTAGGTTCGTGCTGACAAGCGATTGCATCAGAGATTGCATGTGCAAGTGCAACCCCTCTGTTTGGTAGTAGCTTTGCCAGTTGACCAATGCGAATGGGAAACGCTCTTTGCCGATTCTTAAAGCTGCTCAACGAGAATAAGATCATGTTTCCATCACTCCACATTTTCTGATCCGATATGGCCAGGCACCGATATCACTGCATGCGCGTAAAATCCAAAAGAGTTTCAGCGTCCAAATCAATGATGAGCTGCAGACTGGATTGAAAGCAGGCATAACAGCCGAGTTCCCAATCCTTGGCTGGCAGCGTAGCGTAGCGGCCGCATTCCGTCCCGCTTCCCCCTCCTGCTCATCGACTTCCCAGCATCCACCGGCTCCCTTATCACCACAACAACAAACAAAACAACAGCAGTTGATTTTGTCTCTGTCGACATCTTCTTTCGCTGAGCCCGGCCTCCTCCCAAATCCTTCCACTGCACCATTTCTCCAATTCTCAATATTTCAACCAGTTCGTCACAATGGCCGCCGTCGCGAGCCAGACAACACAAACAGGACAAGATGAGGTTACTGACCTCAGCAAGCAATATGATACCCCAATGGGCCTTGCACACACAACGATGCAAGCTCTGAAAGACCGCATCAAGCTTCATTATGACCTGGCGAGCGACTACTACCTAAACCTGTGGTGTGTTTTCAACCTCTTACTCATCAGGTTCTTGACGGGGTTGGGTTGTTAAAAGCTCAAACAACACTCAAGAGACAACAGCAACAGAGACCTAACAAGTGAACAGGGGAGAGCATATTCACCACGGCTACTGGGCCACAGACGAGGCCAAGGCCAAGGACACCAAGGAAGTTGCCCAGGTCAACCTAATCCGCCTCCTCCTTGAAATCTCCAAGGTCTCAGAGGGCGCTCGTGTTCTCGATACTGGCTGTGGCATTGGCGGCACCTCGCGCTTCCTCGCCTCCGAGTTGGGATGCACCGTAACCGGCATCACCATCTCCACCAAGCAAGTTGAAATGGCGACCAGGTTGACCAAGGCCGAGGCCGCTAAACAGATCCAGGGTGACGACAAGACCGTCACCCCAGATGCCGATGGCTTCATTGCGCTCGGAAAGGGCAAGGTCAGGTTTCTTGAGCTCGACGCCGAGAAGATGGGCGAGTATTTCGCCTCGGACGCCGGCACTTTCGATGCTGTGTGGATCAGTGAAGCTTTGAGCCACTTTCCCAACAAGGCTCTTTTCTTCCAGAATGCCTTCAAGGTTCTCAAGCAGGGCGGAAAGCTGGTTCTTGCCGACTGGTTCAAGGGCGAAGAACTCAACCAAACGCAGTTTGACAATGACATCAAACCTATCGAAGGTTGGTGTTTATCCAAAGGAAAGCGCACATCCTAGATCAAAGTCAGCTGACACAAGTTGAACCAGACGGCATGCTGCTCCCGCCTCTGTGCACCCAGCCCGACTATGTTAAGCTCGCTACAGATGCTGGACTCAAAGTCTTCCATGAGCCCAAGGATATTAGCAAGGATGTCAGCAAGACATGGTTAGCCTAACTATCATCCGCGAATCTATGTGTAGATGGCTTTGCTAACTTGAACCCGCAGGGACATTTCCTGGTCGCTGGTACAAAACCCTTCTTTGTGGGCTTTTGCCTTCAGCCAGGGCAGAGACGGCATCGCCTTCCTGCAAGCCTTCCGCGCGATGAGGAGAGGATACTCCAATGGCAGCTTCCGATACGCCGTCATGTCATTCCAGAAGTAAGATGTAGTGACAAAAGTGTAAGGGAAACACTGCCGGTTCAATTGATTCCTCAGTGATGTGATGGCTCATGAACGCTGCTGTCTCTGTTGTTGCAGTTGTCCAGGCAGATGATCATCCTCAGAGTGCGCTGCCGGGAACCTGACTGACTCTTCTGGGTACCTACTCGCATTGGTAGGTCCGTATCATCCACGAGCCATTGAACTCATTGCTGCGCCACCTTGAGAACGCCGCCATATGGTTTTCACAGACACGAATGCCGGTAGAATCGTAGATATAAGTGACGAACAGCACCCCTGCTCCTGTTATCACTACAGTCCGAGAGCAAAGCTACCCCACCTCAATTGACATCTCCCGACCCCAGCCCCCGCCCCCGCCTGCTCAACTCTTATCCTCCGGTCCGGTCCGGTCCGACCCGAGTAAAATCATGGCAACATATCCGCAACCCCGGAATCAACGCGGCTCGGAGCTCGGCATCTTAGTTCCACCTCGAATGGACGTTGGCGAGCTTCGGATTTCGAAGACCGAAAACAGGATCAGCGGATGGTCACCGAATGCATGAGCAGCCCGAAGTCGGGGGCTTGTGAGTTTGATGCCTCGGCAGTTGGTGGTTGCTGGTTGGTCAATGACTTGAGAATCCTCCTCGAATCTCTTTCTCTGGACTTTCCCGGGAGAAGGCAAACCGAAGAAGAATCCTCTTTTGGTGATGGAAACCACCAACTGTGAGTCAAGAAGCCGAAAATAATCTAGTACGTGCGGTCTATCGTTCGATAGTAGGGGGATAAAGAAATAAAACACCCCTCATATGTTGTGTGTCATAACGATGTTCCGCGAGGGAAGGAGGGGTCAAATCCGAGGAAGGCCTTCCTATTTAGTAAAAGTCATCCAATAGTATCGGTCACCAATGACAGCGAGATCGCCATACACTCATAGCCCGTTTATCAGTATCCGATCCGTTACCCATTCCTGTACCACGTTTCACGAGCAAGGTCCGATGAGGCAATAAATGGTGTTCACTGCCCACTCCCCTTCGACTTACTACACTACATACTTCACCGGGTTATCCAGTCATCGCTGCCCGTGTTCCTCCACCCACCAGACAGGATCCAAGTCCACGATGCCTCTCCCCACCTCATCCATCTACCAACCTCCATCGGCCGAGTTCATGAAATGGCCGAGCCGAAGAAGCGTAGTTCACAGCACCAAAGGAATTGTGGCTTGCACACAACCGCTTGCCGCCAAGTGCGGTATCGACATCCTCAATGCAGGAGGAAATGCTGCAGTGAGATTTACTGCCCCTTTCCCCTAAACTAACAACAGTTGCTAATATGCATGCCAGGATGCCGCCGTGGCCGTTGGTACGCTCCAACCGTCTACCTGGAACTCATGATGAAGTGCCCACTAACCAACCTCATCTCACACTTTCTAGCTGCCGGCCTGAACATGACGGAGCCTTGCTCAACCGGCATTGGCGGTGACATGTTCTGCCTCTACTACGATGCCTCGACTGGCAAGGTCTCGGCCCTGAACGGCTCTGGACGTGCGGGCGGCAAGTGTACGCTCGAGAACGTCCGGAAGAGCCTAAAGATTCCAGAGGGTACCGTGGGAAAGATCCCCATGAGCAGCGTTCACGCTGTGACAGTGCCTGGTGCTGCCGCCGGTTGGGTCGATACTGTCGAGCGGTTCGGTAGTGGCAAGTTGACCATGGAGCAGATTCTCGCACCGGCGATTGAGCTGGGTGAGAAGGGATTTCCTGTTTCGGAGACGACGGCTTATTTCGTGAGTTTGGGAGTACCTATCAAATCCTCCTTTATTGTGCTCGCTCTGACAAGTGAAACAGTGGGGAAGACAGGAAAAGGGCATCCGCGAAGCGTCTCCCAACTTCGCGGAGATGTTAAAGGCCGATTCCTCTGCTCCTGGCGGTGTCCGCGCTCCCAAGGCCGGCGAAATCATCAAGCTCCCCAACCTAGCCAAGACCTTCCGCACCCTGGCAACCGAAGGTAAGAAGGGTTTCTACAGCGGCCGCATTGCCGAGGAACTCGTAAAAGTCGTCAACGGCTTCGGCGGCCATCTCGAGCTTGCCGACCTCCAACACCACCTCGAAACCGGCAGCGAATCCGTCGAGCCCATCTCCCTGAAATTTCCCAACCCTCACGGCACCTCCGAAACCGACGGCGTCGAGCTTTGGGAACACCCTCCCAACGGCCAAGGCATCGTTGCCCTGATGGCCCTCGGCATCCTCAAGCACCTCATCAAGCAAGGCACCATCCCAGCCTTCGGCCCCTCCGACCACAACACGGCCCCTTACCTGCACGCCATCGTCGAAGCCCTCCGCATCTCCTTCGGTGACGCCTCCTGGTTCGTCACCGACCCCAACGCCGCTCCCGGCGTCCCGACCTCCCAGCTCATCTCGGCCTCCTACCTCGCCGAGCGCGCCAAGCTCTTCTCTCCATCCTCCGCCAACACCTCGGTCCTGCAACCGGGCGACCCGTACGCCTCTCCCGCCCTGACCTCCTCCGACACCGTCTACTTCGCCTGCTCTGACTCCCAAGGCAACGCCATCTCGTTTATCAACTCCAACTACGGCGGCTTCGGCACCTGCATCATCCCCGCCGGCTGCGGTTTCACGCTTCAGAATCGCGGCGCCAACTTCTCGCTGGATGCGAAGCACCCGAATGTGCTAGCGCCGAGAAAGAGGCCTTACCACACGATTATTCCCGGTCTGGTCACGAATCTGCAGGATAGCAGTCTGCATTCCGTGTTTGGCGTCATGGGCGGGTTCATGCAGCCGCAGGGGCATGTGCAGACGTTGCTTGGGCAGGTGTTGTGCGGGCTGAGCCCGCAGCAGGCGTTGGATGCGCCGAGAGTGTGTATCGGCGCGGGAATGCCAGATGAGGGGAATGTGTATGATGCGACGGTACATGTGGAAGAGGGGATGCCGGAGGAGACGGTAGATGGATTAAGGAAGTTGGGGCATAAGGTGGAGGTTGTGAAGGGTATGGGGAGAATCGTGTTCGGTAGGGGACAAATTATTCGATGGACGAAGGATATTGACGGCACGGGGGTGTGGTCGGCGGGAAGCGATATGAGAGGCGATGGTGCTGCTTACCCGGCGTAATCTGGAGATGGTGATGATGACTCCGGTGAGAAAGAACGAGGTTAAGACTGGCAAATAACGAGTTGCTAGGACGAGACGAGAAACACAAACACATCTGGATATCCCCAACAGAGTAAATCGACCACCCTGCAGTATTCTTCCCTCCTTTGCTGCCACCTCTGCCAACATCCTCCACTGACGACAGTCAACACAACTACTGCCTCCCCTTCATCAAGTTCTTCATCGTGTTATACATCAACTCTGGCACCCCCTTAAACCCTCTCTCCTCCAAATACCTCAACACCCCCGCCCTATACTCCTGCCAACTAATCTCCAACCCTCCCTTCCCTGCCAGCGCCGCCAGACTCTGCTGTGTAACCGGCCCTGCATGTCTCGCCCTCAATCCGCGATCACTAATATCCATCTCCCCTTCCAACTCTCGATCCTCCAACTCCCTCAGGAACGAAATGCTCTGCAAACATAACACCGGACTGTGACTTAATCCAAACACGGATCCGAGAACCAGCTCCCCATCGGGCTCCACCTTCTTGAGGTACCCCCTCAGCGCCGCTTCCAGCGTTCTAGGCACAAGACATCCCTTGGCGTTGGCATCGCTGACGGCGAACGCCCGGCCTCGCCAGAGGACATTGCACAGATCCATCAGGAAGGCATTGAAGGTGGTGATTTGCTGTCTTTCCTCTGCAAACAAGGGGCGAGCGGACGGGGAGGTGGAAACCATGACGGATTCCCACGCGCGCTTGTAGGTCGCTAGGATGCCGCAGAGTCGGGAGACGACTTCGAGCGAGTGGGAGAAGTGGAGGGTGTAAATTAGCAAGGAAGGCGGGATGGTGATGGGGATGTGCTTGAGGAGGGAAGGGGAGGAGAAGATGCGGGTGGCGACGAGGGTGTAGAAGTCGAGGATGAGGAGGTGGGTGGGTACCGTGGGCGAGGTTTGGGCGATGGTTAGGGAGAGAGTGTTGACGTGGGCTATGAGGGCTGGGATGGACTGAGGGGCCGGGGAGGAGGATAGGGTGGTTGAGTCAGAGGAGAGCATGGTGAGGGTCCATTGTCGGAGGAGGGAGGTGTAAAAAGTTAGGAGGGAAAGTTGGGATTCGGAGGTATTGTCGAGGAGAACGGATTCGAAGGGCTGGAGGAGGATCTGGTAGAGCTCTGGTATGTGGTAAGTTAGCTTGGTTGTCTAAGGGTTAAATGGATGAAAGGGTTGAGTTTAACCTTTAAAGTTCATTAGTGGGAGGAAGCTCAGAGTCTCTACGACTATTTCTCTTTTGTCTCTGCCGTCCCAGACCTGCAGAAACTCTCGGAAAAAATTGATGAGGAGAGGTGGTAGTGTCTGCTTTCAGGGTTAGTCAAAGTTGATACAACTCGACAATGCTTTCTGATGCGGACCTTTGTGCTGGCAGCATAGTCATGAATGATGTCTACCATGTCAAGTAGCAGACTTGGGTCGGCATCTCCACTTCGAACATCGTCCAGGCACGCTGTTACCCAATTATTCACCCGCGATAAACCTTCGGCATCTGGCCGGAGGACCAGAAGTTTCTGGAGGAGGGGGTCTGCTAACACTGCTATGAGCTGCGTCGGCAACTCAATCTTTTCCAGGTTCTCAGCCAGGGACTTTGGACTATTGACCTCTTCAAGAGTGACAGAGTTCTGCAGGTTGGTTGGTTGGTTACTTTGTTTACATCAATGATGATTGCGCGAGGGAAGACGGCACTCACTTCTTGAGCATGCAGGGTATGCACAGCCGGAATAAGGATGCCCTTTGCCCCCCTTTGTTGGCGGCCAAACGCAGACCTGACAGCGAAGCCATTCCTGACTGTGCCATCTTGGACAGCTTCAGTTTGTTGCTGCTGGATCTCATCTAATCTTGCTCGCCATTGCGGGTCAGGATGCTTGAAGGTAGCTGCGCGACCGTTGGCAGCATCGCCGACAATAATTTCCGGATAGTAGTTTTTGAAAACTCGGAGGAGGCCTGTCAAATTCGGATCGTTGCCCGTCTGCCGGGACAAGGCCAGAATAGTCTGTATCCTGAAAGGCTTGACGTGTTTTCGTCGCGTGATGAGGGCCAAGACATGACATAATTGCGGCCTGATGGCGGCAGTGTCGAGGAGGTTGAAAAGGACACCATAAGTCTGGGACAATATGCTGGTGTCTTGAAGCAAGTGGTAGACCATAATCAGCCATTTGAGAAGAAGAGTCTGGATCGGAAAGGAGGGCTTGAGCTGGCCATGGCCCAAGGCACAAACCACTTTCAGGACGGACTCGCTGTTCAGCTTGCCCACTGGATACAGGTTTTTGATGATGGCGCCCTTGGATGCTTGGTCCAGATGGTTGGTGAGAGTGACCAGGTCAACCAGACGGGCGAGCTCATCGGGCAACGCACCCCTGTCGTAGAGCACCGAGGTCAAGCTTTCGACGGTGGGCTTTATGCTGGTTTGACGGCGTTTGGAGGGCACTTTGGAAGCTAAAGAAGAATTAGTAAATCTGTTGTTTAGGAATATAAAGAGAAGTGCGTACCTGCCTCGATGTCATCCAGGAGAGCGCCGAGTTTGTCTTTGTCGCCGACATGATCATGATCACCGAGATTCACACTGGTGTCGTTTGTATTGTGATCTCCTTCGACGGAAGACATTTTGCAAGCCCGGTTCTGTTGATCGCCGCAATAACGATGACCTTATCACAGAAACACCTTCATGTCGTGGAATATTGCGATTTGTTGCGACATGACATGTCTTTGACGGCAGGTACTACAACTTTGTACATGTGATTAATTGGGAGACGCGTCGCGGTGTGCCCCACCACGAGTTACCGTCGTCACCCAACCGACCTGGTTGGTGGTTGAATGTGGCTCGTGCACTAGTCTGATCTAGTGTACTTGTACAGTAACCCTTGCTGACATAATATTTATGCCGTGTAATGTGAATGGTTATGCACAAGATTGTGCATTGCTCCCCAAATGGGAAATAACAAAAGTCCCGCCGGATTCGACACTTTGGTCGTTTTTGGAAAGTGTCAGAAACGACGTGGCAAACGCTCAACATACTGAACTGAATTATCAGCAGTTTGACTGACTTTTCCTCCACTCTCTCTTATCACACTATGGACAGTACGCACTTTTGGAACGACCCGGACAGATTCGACAAAATTCAAGGCGTTCAGTCCTGCCTCAAATGTACCCGCTGAGGAGAATGAGGTGGGACTTTCTCGGTTTTCGTGTTACACAAGACATGCTACGGCCAAGGAAAGACCGATTTCGCATACCAAACTCCTCCACCTCGTGGGGTATCTATCTGCGCCTGACCCGGGCAGGAGGCCGAGGCTGGAATCATGGAAGGTGGACATACCTTGCCTTTTACCGGAAGGAGCCCAGGTTTCTCTAAATGCATGCCGGTACTGACTTTCTCCGGTACCTACTACCAAGTACAATCACTCATCGTCTTGCTGTTGTCAGACAGAGCGGGCACGTCTGTCGGTTATCATCATGGAACCAGGTCGCGGCTACCTACTAATACTGTCACGCTGCAGCAACGCCTTACACAGTGGGAGACGGCAACCCAACTGAATTCATATCACGAGTTCATTCATCACTGCAGTTACTAGCTTGCAGTAAGCGTGTCAGGCTACAGTATTTTTCACCACCAGCAAATGAATTCTTCAGCCGTAAGATTGACATTATGCGGAGCAAGCAACGAGGGAACGAAAGCGAAACACCGACGGGATAGCGGGAGGGAGATGCCGTCCTGATTTCCTCTTGCTGGTCAGGTCAAGTTGTCCACCCTCTGCCTCTATCGACTTCTTCTGAAGCCATTTCTCTATGCAATCGGAGTTTACTAAGGCCGTTTGCCTGTTGGTTGTCACCGCCTTGTTGGCCCGTCCTCCATGTGGATTCCCACCCTTTTCTGACCCGGCCTTTCCCAATCTTACCAACTACCTATGTACAACTAGCGTTTTATCGTTATTCGTTTTGACCTATCGTCCTTGCGAATCTCTGTATGCCTCACTGGAGTCACTGCCGCTTACCTACATACCTCCAGATTGGCCCCCACAGCTACCCTTCCTACTAGTCTCTGGTCACTCCTCCGCTTCCGGCGCAGGGAGAATTATTGAACACCACTGACTGCTTGTCCTGAAGAAGCCGGACTCAAGCTTCATTCACGACTCGATGCTCAATGGTCACACGATGCGCAAGATAACCTGGTATATGTACGCCGACGCTCTCGTTCATGGAAGTGATCAGTTCGATTTTGCCCTCAAGTGTCATCACGAAGGCGCCCGTTCCAAGAGGTCAGAGGAACAAGAAGCATGAAAGCAGGCCGACGAGGCCATGTCTTTCTTTCACGCAGAAGCCAATCGAACTCAGACCTTTACGCCCACTGTCATCATCCACCTCTTCTGGTGCGACTGAACGACGAGACGGATATGCTCTGTGCATATTGCAGCAAGCGGTATCCATTCGCCGCTGTCCTCGTGTCAGCATTCACCGGCTTAAGACTAGGCCCGTCAGACCTCACGAGGCACTCTGACTCCAGACGGACGGACTTGGCACGCAAATCATGAGAGCTAGCCTAGCAGCACAGCATCATCTCAACTTTTGTCCCTTGACCGGTGCGGTTATAGAAAGATATGGGTACGTACTATGCCCTCTGCCGTGTCACCGTTCCATTCAGTCAGCTTGCTGTGGACTCGAAAAAGGTTTGTCCCTCCTTCGTCTGCGTGGGTGGTCAGCGTTGGCGCCGGCTGCGCTTCGAGCCACCCCTTGTCGATGCTGTTGACTAGATTCTATAGTGTTCTTTACCCTTGAAACCACCCCAGCCCCGAGTACAAGCACCAAAGGATGCCCGGTACCACGCTGCCCGTGCGACTCCATCATCAGGGGCTCGGGCTTCCATACCGCTCTGAATTCCTGCCATGATAGCCTTTTCCCTTCCCCAACCTCATTCTTCATCGTCGGCAAACAACGAATAATGAGCGAGAACTTGAGGTCGGTGAGAGCATCGTAAAGCACTGGACCGGGACTTCCTGTTACCCTTCCAGGGCCTCCGTCGCGTTTCTCGTTCGCATACCCAGACCATTCTTTTCACAATCTTGATGTGTCAAGTATTATGGCATCACACGCCCTTATACAATATCAGCGCATTGCTCCTTGTGCTACCCCAGTTGCTGCTCAGCGTACACCAGAGCTATATAGCCTGCTCGTCATCACCCAATGGGCTGTTGCCCTGCGGAAAAAAAAAAAAAAAAGATGTCCCTGCAAAGTTTTTAAGTCCCTTTAAACATGTCTCATATTTTCTTTCTCTCCCGTGTCTTTTTTAGACGCGCAAATATCCGCAATGACCTAGTCCATTTGCCCACTCGTGTGGATAACATGGTGTTACCATTACACCTGCACCACCCGAGACATTCAAGCCAGGGAACTCCTATATACATCTTTGCAATGTCGACAACCACCCCCCCGTATCTGAACAACCTGCTGGATGGACTGCTGACGTTAGTGGGATCAACCCAGTCAGCCAACTGCCATTCGAGGAGGGTTAGTGTTCCCTTAAAGTTCCATCATGCCCATTCCTGTTCGGTTGTTCCTTTGCCTGGTGTCGCGCTTAGCCTAGTCTCTTGCCATTTCCGGTAGGATTCTCTGCTCAACCGCGGTATCAAAAACAGGAAACACAAGGTGAAGCCACTCCGTCGTTATCTGCCATTGCCGAACCTGCTTCCTGGTTCGGATTTTGAATCTGTCCCCCCTATTGGTCCTTGCGAGCGACTGATCCGACCCGAAATTGAATCTGAGCGCTGCTAGACGCGTACCCTTTCTTACTTGTGTGTTATGGACCCATCATAGCTTTCAGAGGGCTGTTTTCTACATTTGCTGGACGTTGTTGCCGGACGATCTAGCTAAGTCGACCTCGCGGGAGCTCCAGCCGCTTGAGTTTCTTCATAACATTGCATATATACATCTGAACCCTGCGGATCAGTGTATGAAAATTTTGGAACGGAAGCTTGGCATTGAATTGATTAGAACTTTTATAAAAAAGAGGTATGTCAGTCAGTCATCAATGCCTTTAAATCACCCAAAGACCGCGAACAGTCCAAGCGATCTTTTTACGCTAAACATGATAATACTACAGGTTCATGAACCATGAACCCGCCAAGGTTTTCGGACCAGAGACTTGCGATCCACGACCCTCTTGTGCCCTCTGAGCAATTTCCTGCGATTGCAGGCGGCTTTCAAACAACAACTGTGATTCAAGACTCACTAGAATATCTTCCCCTTTCAAGGTCCCTGAAAGACGGCGATATACTATTGCTCCTGACCCCGGCAGTCGCTCCCCATCATACCACCTCCGAAACCGGCCACTCGACCAGTGACCCCTTCGAACCGCTCGGAAAGGCCCTAGCAAAGAAACACCCGTGGGTTCGGCAGGTTCCTTATATCCCTAGGAATGGGATCACTGGGACTCATGTCGTGCACATCAGGCTGGCCAAATCCGTTGTGTTCGTTATCTCAGGTCCGCCTTGCTTTGGTCAACCTCCGCAGGTCTCACTGGCTAAGACGGTACGCTCACTATGTGAGAACCGACCGCTGATTGTGTTGGCATGTTGCAACGTCAAGTGGCTAGGCCCCCTTGAGAGCTCATTCCCAACAGTCATTCAGAGTTCTGGCTTTACCCCTCGGGAGCTCGAAGCAGCAGCCCGTGTCATGGTTGAGAATGTCAAGCAGCCATATACAGCGGGGCCAAATGTCCAAAATCTTATCTTAGCACCCAAATCATGGCAAGTGGAGGCATGGAACGAGCACCGCGATGTCGCCCCAGCTTATGAACTGTGGTGCCAGTGTTTTCCCGACAATTTTCGGCTTAGTCGGTTTTCATTCCAGTCCCTTCTCTGCCGCGATGGCTACGCGATGCACTACGTGGTTCGCGAGCCAGGGACTACCCAGCTACTGGGATTCTGTGCTACATATACCACATATATTGGCAGCGACTCGGAAAGATTGGTTGGCTCTCTAGCCGCTCTGTTTGTTCGACCGTCTTACCGTCAAAGGGGTATTGGACTAAGTTTGCATGATCACGCTTCACGCCAACTAAGGAAAACCCGTGGAGTTTGCCGTCTACATCTCGGAAGCACATTTCCACGTTTATTCTATGGAATTCCCATGGAAAGCCCTTCAGAGGACTGGTTCTCTCGCCGTAACTGGCCCGTTAAGCCTCAGTCCAGCTTACCAGGCGCTGGTCTGGAAACGTGCGACTGGTTGCTTGTGTTTGACGACTGGCCAACAACAAGAACAAGTCCAACAACAACACTGATGAACTCGGAACTAATATTCCGATCGTGTGAATTCAGCGAGTACCACATGGTTATGGAGATAGTGGAGAGGGAATCGAGGGAGAAGGACAATATGGGATGGTACGATCAATACGCGAAATTGGAAGGCACGATGAATATCGAGGATATTGTGCTGGGTCTTGAAGGACGAACCATTGTGGCAGTGGCCTTGACGTACGTCAAGAATACGGGAAGTCCCGTTTTTGAGGATTTACCGTGGGCCGGAATGATTTCAGACAATGTCGGCGGAGTAACATGCATCTGCATTTCAGGCAAGTTGTCCGTCAATGACGTATTCCAATATTTGTATGAATGCTAACTGCGACTTGATCACACAGACCAAAACCCTGGTGTGGCCAAGGGAAGAGATGCCATCATGCTCAGGCTTCTTGATAGTTGCGTTCACAGATTCGCCCAACAAGGGTTGAAAAAAATGTTCATTGACGCAATGAGAGGAAACGATGAAGGATTTCAGTCCATGGGTCAGCAAAATAACCTGACTGTTAAAGGATCTTCTGCTAACTTTTTCTTAGGGTTCCAAAAGTGGGCGAGATACAGAGAAGTCTGGCGAGATGTTTAACGCACCTGCGACCTCCGGGATACAATCTCACGTTCATTTGTCAACGGGGATCTAATATCGTCTTCTGAGGGAGTACCATGGTGACTAATTCGCCATGCCACTTGTTAAAAGTGACATCAAGGTCTTTGGGACATATGGTCGATGGTTACAGAGGAGGATGGAACGCCCAAAAATGACTAGTCCCAGGATGGTTTTTTTTGGTCTTCTAGAAACCAAGAGCCAACTAGCTACATGACTAGCCCTTGGATGGACAGCTTCTTGGTCTCAAATATTTATCCAGTGAAGCTCAACTCTGAACACTCCATAACCTAGCGTACGAGGAGGACATTAGATTTGACAAGGCATCAGAGTCAGAGGAAAATTTGGAAGCTGATAGCACAATACAACCTAGAGGAAAAGGGGACCCCAACAAGAGATCATCACAGAGACACATAAAGGTTCCGTCCGTGTTCAGACCTAGGCGCCTTTTTTTTTTTTTTTTTTTTTTTTTTTTTTTTTTTTTTGGGGGGGGGGGGGGGGGGGGGGGGGGGGGGTATGTCACACTCTATCCTCACTCATGCAACAGTTCAGTTACGAGCTTGATGCTTTGTTACCATTACCATGCCGAGCGTAACATCATCTCTTCTGAAAAATTGTTGTCAAAACAGAAACATTACACGCCAAGACTTACACAGTCATCATGGTGGTTTCCATTTTGGATTGTCATGCAGCGCTTCATTCGATCACCCTTTTTGCACTGGCAGAGTCGCACTTGCCGTAAAATCTGTTGAAACTTGGTGGCTAGAAGAGCTCTTGCCCGGTGTCACAATGGCGACCTCTTTCGTCGTGTAGTGCTCAAGTTTGAGTCGGGAAAGAGGTGACGACATGCTCTGGGATGGGGGAAGGAAGAAGGGAGGGAGCTTGGGCCAATGGTTTCAATTGCCTGAATGGATGGAGAACCTGGAACCCTGCTGTCGGCTAGGCTCTGTTTGGCAACATCCATCCAACCAACCCCTCTTCCCGTCCACAACGACGCCCTCTTATCCTCAAATCTTCACTTTGAACTGTTGTTCTTGTTGCTTCTCTACCTCTAGCTTACACCTAGAATTCAATCAAATATCGACGGCAAGATAATCAGAAATCGAATGTTGTTGTTGTTGTTGTTGTTGTGGAATTGCGTTTCAGATCTGTACCTGTGTTAGCCCAGTCGTGGAACTTTGGCTGAAGCGAGATCAGAACTCGAGCTCAGCACGTCGTTCGTTCAGCTTCTCGCGATTCACAGTCCACCAACCACCTCACGTTTATCGCCTGCGCACTTTGTCACGCATCCTGTCCAGCTTCTTTCACTGGCGGCATCGTCCCTCTCTTACATGCTTTGACCTCTTTCGACTACTTATACAGCTTCGACCCTGTTTGGCTTCTGGATACATCCGCTTCCGAAATTCATGTATCTAATGTCATTCATACGAGACTCTCCACCCAGTTTTTGAGGAGCACAGATTCTTTCTTGTGCGCGACATCGGCGTTCTTCGCCTGTCTCATCTACCTTTCCTGATTCCTGTCGCGCAGCTGTTGGGCCGATTCGTCGAACCGATGATCAATCCCATATCTTTCCGGCCGGGCCCGGTCACGTTCTGGACCACGCTCATCTACCTGGCCCTGCTGATACCCATCGTCATCATCAACGAGAAAACACCGGCGGCGCCTAAGACGGCCGAGCCGTTCAAGGGTGTCAACCTCACCGAGGCCTGGCTCGACCTCACCACCATCACCAGAGCGTACCATCCTTACAACAGCAAGTTCAACGAGGAGGTGCGCAGATATCTGCTGGAGAAGGTCGAGACCATCTTGGAGGAAAATGGCGCTAGTTGGGTGTTTGATGGGTGAGTTGTCTTGGCCTCGAGTTTCTACAACGGCTGGTTGCCAAAGACTAACAATACGGTTTCTTTGATATTGATTATAGCCAAATGACTACCGTTAAGGACGGCAAGTCTGCAGCAGTCACCATTTTCGATGACAATGTGTCAAATTCCACCTTTGTCATGGGAAAGTCTAATGGAACTACCTTCACTCGTACGGACTCAATTAATAATGCCGCTTACTTCGAGGGTACCAACATCCTGGTTTACATTCGCGGTAAGGAGGACGATGAAGGCGAGTGGTGGGAGGCCGATTACGCCCATGGAATGAGACGTAATGCGAAGGGTCTTACCTTGGTCAATGCCCATTACGATTCGTAAGTTCATTCCCAGTGTTTGTTTGTGCAAGAAGTCGCCCAAACTGACAGCTCATAGCGTGTCAACGGGCTTTGGTGCCACCGACGACGGCATGGGAGTCGTGACCGCCTTGCAAGTCCTCAAATATTTCACCGCCCCGGGCCACCAACCTCAGCGCGGCATCGTGGTCATGTTGAATAACGGCGAGGAAGATTGGCTCTACGGCGCCCATGCCCTCGGTCAGCACAAGCTGAATCCATTCATCCATACCTTCTTGAACCTCGAAGGTGCCGGTGCTGGAGGCAGGGCGATAGTATTCCGTGCCACAGATCGCGAGGTTATGGCGGCGTATGCTAGAACATCGCACCCTTTCGGTACTGTGATTGCATCTGATGCCTTCGGCCTGGGCTTCATCTCTAGCGGTACCGACTACTCAGTACTCGTTGACGCTTACGGCCAGCGTGGAATTGACTTGGCCTTCTTCAAGCCCCGTGCGAGATATCACACCAACCAGGACGATACTCGGCACACTTCCAAAGGAAGTCTCTGGCATATGCTGTCAGCAGCTATCCACACAACCAAGCAATTTTCCGGTGACACTGGCAACACATTCATCGGTCAGAGGCCTGATAAAGCCCATGGAAAGGTTGCCAACGGTCGTTCCTCTAACGGAGTGTGGTTTGACCTCTTCGGCAAAAGCTTTGTGCTCTTTGGTCTGCGCGGCATGTTTGCCTGGTCGCTTACTCTTCTCGTCGCGACTCCGTTGGTCTTGGTCGGCATCACCTGGCTTCTTCGTAACCTCGACAAGGACTACTTCTTCACCTCCACGGTCAAGACCAAGGAGCATCCCGAATATGAGGCTGTTCCCGTTGGTGGATGGAAGGGCTTCTTCCGCTTCCCCTTTGCTCTGGGTGTCGCTGTGTTTTTCACGATCAGCTCGGCTCTTTTGATGAATAAGGTCAACCCGTTGATTGTCTACAGCAGTCGTTATTCTGTGTAAGTTGTTGTCTCCTGGGTTTCTTGCTGTCCGGGCTAACAGTCGTTTCAGATGGGCTATGATGGTGTCTATCTTTTACTTCTCCTTCTGGATGATCATGCGTGGAGCCAATTTCGTCCGTCCCAGCGCTCTTCACCGCGGCTACGCCAACCTGTGGCTCTTCGTTTTTGGCTGGATTGTTCTGGTCGCCATCACTGCCTTGGAGGACCGCCGTAGGATTGCGGCGGGCTACATCTTTGTTTTCCTCGAATCGGCCATCTTCTTGTCCTGCCTGATCTCTTTCGTTGAGCTCTTGGCTCTGCCGAGGAAATCTTCATACGCCTTGCAAGTTCAGGAGGACTATGACGGCCAGGAACATGATCACAATGGATATCAGGGGTTCCGGGATAGTACCGATGAACCCTCTTTGAGGGCCAGGGCTGAATCATCCGCCTCTGCTGCTTCTCCTCCATCGCCCACGGTTGCTCAGGAGCCCAGCAAGTCTAAAGCACCGGCCGGCACTACTAATGGATTGTCGACTGCGCCTTCTGTTGCCGCGCATTCTTCGCAACCACAGCCTGCTCCCACCACACCCATACCTGGTCGTTCTTCTGGCGCTCCTTCTACTGCATCCCGGGATGAGAACGAATCCGAAGATGATGACGAACCGACCGAGCGGACACCGCTCGTTGGTGGTAATGGCACCAATGATCGTGGCCGTACTACGTTTGCGACTACTTATCGCCGCTCTATCACCGCGTTGGTCCACGGAGCCCGGAAGATGGAAGAAGATGGGGAGCCCTACGACCATGAGCAAGAATGGTCTGGACATCTGCCTTCTTGGGCATGGTTCTTCCAGTTCTTGTTGCTGGGCCCCTTCATGATTATTCTTGCAGCTCAGACGGGTCTGATGCTGACAGACGCAGTATATCAGACCGGATCAGACGGTAGCAAGCTCATCACGCCCTACCTCATCATCTTCGTCTTCACTGTCTTGCTTATCCTTCCACTCACGCCCTTCATTCACCGTGTCACACATCACATTCCTGTGTTCCTACTTGTCGTCTTTATCGTGACCCTTACCCATAACCTCATCGCCTTCCCCTTCTCGGCCAACAACCGGTATAAGACCTTCTTCGGTCAGTACATTGACGTCGCCACCGGCGACAACAAGGTCTGCTATACCGGTATCGAGGAATACGTCCGTCCCATTATCGCTGAACTCCCTTCTGCATCCGGACGGGAAGTCACCTGTGGCAAATCCCTTCGTCGTGGTTCCACGATATCAACGTGCTGTTTCGACGGATCTGCCGTCCCACCCAAGCTTGGAAGCGAAGATGACAATGGTCTCCCTCAGGACAGCTACGCCGACCTTATCACCATCAACGCCACGCGCAGCACCAAGCGAGGCGACTCGTCAAGGACCACTGCCCGGATCGAGATCACGGCTGATAACACCAAGTCGTGCTTTCTTCAATTCAAGAAGCCTGTGTCGGCACTGGCTGTCGAGAACGGCTCCGGCTGGGACGACCGCTTTGGACAGTACCCGGAGGATGGAGTGGGGCTGGTTAGGCTCTGGCACAGGGAGTTTGGTAAGACGTGGGTGGTGAATGCGGAGTGGAAGGGCTCGGAAACCAGGAAGGAGTATGATGAAAATGATGGGACGGTGATTTGTATGTGGAGCGATGCAAATACGCAGGGGACCATTCCGGCATTGGATGAGGCGTTACAGTTTGTCCCGAGTTGGGCAGCTGTGACGAAATTCTCGGAGGGGTTAGTGGAGGGAAGGAAGGCGTTTAAGACTGTGTAGGGAAATAGTGGTATCGATGAGAGATTTGTGAAGTGACGTAGCGAAGGAGTAGGAGTTGCTGGCATAAGGAGATTGGTTGGGTTTGACTCATTTCCTACATGGCATGTGTATACTCTATCCAGCCCATGGTCATTACTAACTTATCTTGAGGATGTCCTTTTCCCTTCTCCACTGTTGACATTGAACCTGGGCATTTTTCCTGGATGGGTTGTTGATGTTGACCTAGAGTGTGGCAATGAACGGCATCATATGCTTTGCCATTTGACTCGAATAGCTATTTGCCTTCGGCTCACATCTCGAGTCGCTCAACAGACGTCAAACTACTACTGAGGTAAAGTCGCACCAGGACCGGATGGGGTGCTCCCCGCTGTGATGTTTCACCGTCTTTTGTCGGTCCAGACTTCCGAATGTCGCCTGCTTCTTGACGCCTCCATATTCGATCACTACCAAACTCTTTTTTTCGATTGTCTGACAATCTTTCATGTACCTTCTACAAGGTTTCAAGAAATTTCTCTTTGCAAATGGCGGCTAATCTGAATTCTATTTCAAGTGGCAATGAAATCCCACCCATCCCATATCCTTTAATCGTAGTTCCCTTTCTCTCCTAACGTCACAGCTTCCACTTTGCACATATACCACACACAAAGAATGACAGAGGTACAAGTGAAAGGGCTGCGTCGTCAACGCGTTGCCCAAAGTGTCTCGGTGTCTTACCATCCCATCTGGTTCCTGCGTCTTGACAAGCGGGAGGTTGCATGTGGATGTTACACATGTTTGTGTCGAGGACACACTATGTGCTCGGTTCTTGGGTCCTACCTGATCTTTTACTATCTCTACTCTTCGAAAGACCTGAACTGACAAGTTGTGATGCTTGCTTGTGTGTCTCGGCTGGTATGTATGTTTGCGGACAAAAGTCTTGGTGGCAAGTCGAAGTAAATCTAGCCGGAATTGCGAGAAGGCGGCTGGATGAAAGACGTTTGTTTCGGGATGGAGTGCCATGTGTGAGCTTCAACGCGGAAAGAGGCAACTGAACTCCGTCATTCCCTTGAGCTCCAGAAGCATTACCTCTACCTGTCAAGCGATTCAGATCTCGGAAGGAACGTTTTCTCCCTCGAGCGTTCCTTCCTTCTCCTCTTTGCTGCCTTGCAACATTTGACCCAAGGTTTCTCACACCCGACTCGGGCCAAATCTCTCACTCACCTACACCTCAACAAATCCACCTAATCCTGATATCCACGTTACCTGGTACTATAACGACTTTTGTTTTTTTCTCGAGTCTAGCTACCTGGTAGGTAGATACTTTCAACACGAACCGCACCTACTCTGAGCTCAAACGAACAATCTCAACAACCTCACCCGACTCCGGGCCAACCATCCACCATCCATCCTACCTTCCATCCTCAAAAATGGCCCCCTCAATCCTCGAAACCCTCGCCCTCCTTCTCTCAGCGTCCGCCACCTTCCTCACCACTGGCGCCGGCGCCAACCCCCTCCCCAATCCCAGCTCTAACTCGGGCACAAAGGCCAAGAGCTGCGTCAATGGTCCCCCCGCCACCGATTCCTCGCCCGGCAGCCTTCCCATCGCCGACTACTCGCTCGTCGCGCCCGCCGCGAACCTCAACTGGACTTCTTACACGGTCAAGAAGAGCTGGTGGGATAAACACTTTCTGAGTGGACCGCATGTATGTCATCATCACCCCCCTGAGTCACGAGAAAGGAGAAAGAGAAGAGGGGATATAGAGTGTGGATGGGAGTGAACGATGATGATGTGAACGGTGAAGTGAAAGGAAAGTGAGCTGACACATGGATCATATCCAAAACAGTACATGCCCTACACCCACCATACCGACCCGTACGGCGCATTCAAATGCCAGTACACTTGCAACGCGGCGGGTGATAAATGCAAGAGTTACTTTTTGTGGTACAGTACGTCATGTTCTATCTACTCCTCCTTTGGATACTATCTCCCTTGTTGAACAGGATGGCTAGCTGACCTGGTTCAAAAGCGGACATCAACAACGCAAACGAGCATATTAACTGCGTTTTGTTTGATGATATGTAAGCTACCCTTTCGCTGACCCTTCCCTTTGCCTCCCTGCCTGCTTGAATACACTGACATGATATCAAAACGGCAGCATCGACCCGTCCATCTTTGTCCTGGGCGGCAACAGCACTATCGGTGCGGGTGGTTACAACAGACGGTGCCAGAGCTCTACGGCCTAGAGGTCCATTCGACCGTTGAAGTACTTCGGATATTTTTGGGCGGCAGGGGAGCATAGAGGTCCTTACAAGCCTGGAGGCGCGCCGAACATCGAAAGGTAAAAAGGAATTGAAGTGTTTTGGTCCTGGTCGACGAGTGATGAATCGAGTGATCTTAGGGTAATAGGATTTCTCGTACATATTCGGTCTTGTTCGGTGGCCCATCTGGATGATGAGCAGTTTGACTGGCTGATGGATGGGGATTACTGCTCATAGTTTCGGTTTCGATCAAAATTGAACTCCTTACACAGTCATTCGTTGGAGTTTCAAATCCTACTGATGTGTAGACTGCATGTAATGATATCTCCTATCAACAGCAACCCAATGTAAAGCTCACTAGAACAACGACCTAACGCCTGAAAACCCACCGTAATGCCAAATTCGATCATGTTTCAAAGTCCCAAACTCCTGATAGACATGCATCCGAAAAACCAACCAAGCAAGCCACCTGTCGTACGAATCCTGAAAATCGCTCCTGCCATGTCGTGCAACGTCCGAGTAAATCAAAAAGACTCGGGCGGCGTGTAGAATTCCTCGGTTTCAGACATCCGGTCCTCATCCATCTGATCAGCTCCCATCAAGCCCTCGTCCATTCGCTCTGCTGCTCCTGCTTCTTGAATAACCACGCCCTCAGCGCCACCAGCACCAAGGGAACCAGACCTCTAATCCTCATTAACCACCGGTGGACCACCACCAGCACCAAAAAGGGGAAGTGACCTCTAGTCCTCATCCATCCGATCCGCTCCTTCCTCCTCCTTCTTAATCACACCACCTGCACCAAGCGGCCCAACACCAGCAGCAGGAACTCCTTTCTCCTTCACCACCCTCTCCGCATGCTCCTTCGCCCTCAGCCACAGCTCCCGTTCCATATCCCTCTCGACGGTATCAATCGCCATATTCATCCTCCCTACATCCAGATTCCCATACCTCCCCACACCGTCCGGGTCCAGTCGTGCCACCACGGGCCGCACCCACTTGGCGCCGCGGTGCGTCTCGATCTTGGCTGGGCGCGTGAGTTCGCCGGGGTTTTTGGGTGCAGAAGCGGCCGCGTAACCGCCGGGTTTGTTGGAAGCGCTTGGTTCGCCTGGACCGCCGGTACCGTCGTCGTCGGGGTTGTTGGGATTGGAGTTGGAAGAGGAGGAGCGAAGGTTGATGATGCCTGCTTCTTCCATGGCGTAGATTTGTCGACGGAGCTGCTTGTCGACGCGGTCGAGGGTGGAGAGGAAGGTGGATTGGATCTGGGTGAAGCGGGTTGTTGCGTCTTCTTGGTCTTGTTCTTGTTGTTTTTGTTGTTCGGCTTCGGTTTGGTTCTGGTTGTCGGATGACGTGGGTGGTGGGGAGGCGAGGCAGCGGAGGGCGTTGGAGGTTAGTTCGAGAAGGGAGACGATGTCCTTTTTGTTTTAAGAGAAAAAGGTTAGTTGGAGGAATATGGAAATAGTGGAAGGAGGAGGAGGAGGGAGGAGACGAGGAGGAAACGTACATTGTCGATGTTGCTGAGCTGCTGAATGTGTTCGGCGGTTGTGAAGGGTTCGTGGATGTCGATGTCCATTTGGGGTTGGAGCTGTAGGTGCCCCCCTTGGGGTTGGGCGTTGTTGTCCATGCTGATGTGAAGTTTGTCGAATCGATGGGTTGATGCTGATGCGTATGAAATTATCGGTAAATATATATTGTAATGGGTCCAATTGGGTAGTTTGTGATTTTATGTCGCTGCTGTCAACTTCTTGGATGCGCCTGTTGGTGGTTTGGTTATGTTTTGTATTTTCGGGACAAAAAAAGGCTGAAGAGGTTCTGGAAGCTCCCCCACCACTGTTGTTTGAAAGAAGAGCAAGAGCCCTGTCCATCAATTGAGGTGCTGGCCGGTGTGGACCTTGACGGACAACATGAACGAAACGTGGGGTAAATTCCGGGACCTGCAAGTGCCAAGTTCCAGCGTGCCTGCAGCAAAGCACGGATCAGGCGCTAGACAGACGCGCTAAGTGGTCCACTGTTCGACTGTTCGCGACCTCCTCGCTCGGCAAATGCCGTCTTCCTTCCACTTGGACGGGCACTGACCTGGACCTCGTCATCTCCGTCTTGTCTTGAGCCTCATTATCAACCTCGCTCTTTTGCCGTAAAACAGACGCTATCGTTATACAGGCAGCCGAGATCGTTTTCGAAGTCAGCGTATACCCATTACGAACGAGCTATATAGCACCGCATTCACAGGAACTGGATCAAGACTCTACCATCATCTGCCACACGCGTCGACGTCCTCCTCATCCTTCACCACCCAATTACTAAGAAAGCCACATACAACAAGAGCCTTACACGCCACCGGAGTCATTGAGGCTCGATTTTGCACCTGTTGTATACACAAAGAAGCATAAGGTATACGTAGCCGTTCGATAAAAAGGCATCTCACACATCATGTCCAATCCCCCACCAGCAAACACCGGCCAGGCGCCGGGAGGTGCCACATATGGCGGTGGCCAACAACATCAACAACAACCTCAGTCTACTACTGGTGGTGCGCCAACGACGGGAGGCACAGGAGGAACAGGAGCCGCAGGGACGACATCGACGAGCAGTACGGCGCCCACACCTCAGAATTTGAATCAGATAGTGAGTCCTTGTTGAGTGTTTGATTCCACCTGCCCTTGTTTTACCTATCAACGTTTTATGGCCTTGTTCAAAACGTACCAGCTCATGGAATTTCTATGAGCTTCAACTCTCCTCGCTTCCTTCTGCCCCTCCTCTTTCTCCAGAACCTTTACATGTACAAGTACCAGCCATGAACTTTCCCAACCATCACTGTGTTTCTTTCTTTTTTTTCCCTTCATAATGGGCGGGCATACGGCATGTTGGCCGGCCGTGCCTTGGCGCTCATTCATGGGGCTTCCCATCAGGTTCACTTCAGATTCACTTCAGATTCCGTTCACCGGCACACCCGTCTAGTAACTCGAGGCTGGCCGGTTTACGAATCCCCTCCTCCTCCCGTTACTACTACATAATCAAGCTCATTATTGTCATCGCATCACAACACAACACATCATCTCTTTTCGCTTTCCCCTGCCCTCGACATCCTGACAACTTGCGGTAACGAGAAAACATTACGTCTATCCTGACAACGTTATCTATATCTAATCATGCCTTCGCGATTTACCCATCACTTGCCGCCTCCACATTCGCCTCTCCGCTTTTCTCATCTGCCGACCCAAGCTGTGATGGAGCTCTATCGTGTTAAACATCCAACTAACGACGCACAGGTTACGGACTACCTTAAGAAGAAGGGGTTCACCAAGACCGAAGCCGTTTTCCGTCAAGAAACAGCCCATCTCGGGCCTGACGGCAGGCCCGCGCAGCGCAACGAGGAGAACGGACCGCGAAAGTATTTAAAGGCGTTCATCTTGCTCCGAGATTGGATCGAGAATAACTTGGACATCTACAAGGTAAGAGACGACGAAGGCGAGGATCCAAATGATCCATGGCAGTGATGCTAACAAGCAATAGTTCGAGCTAAGAAAGCTCTTGTGGCCTGTCTTCGTTTACTCCTACATCGAGCTCGTTTCCACAGGGTATGTGGAAGAAGCAAAGCACTACCTGGCAACACTACGACCTCACTTTGACTCTGTCCATCGTGAGGCGTTAGACCTATTTACGACAGTCACCCTTCCACAACACACTCGCGAAAACCAAACAATCAAACTCTACCGGGAGAACAAGTATCGCATCCCGCTCAACCAGTCACTTTCTGGCAACCTCTTCCACTTTCTCGAGCGCGAGGCGGATGCTGGCGGCTCAACAATCACATTTATCCTCCAAACCTTCTGCCAAGTAGACGTCAGCGCAAGAGGGCCCATCGAGCCATTCAGCTTTGAGGCTATCTACCGACGAGCTCATAATCTAGATCTTGATGAGATTGACCAGCTCGAAGGCATTCCTGGTGTTTTCACCGGTGTTACAAACAGAGACGTTCTCGACTCATCAGCACCGCTGAAGCTCGGCCCTCTTCCAATGGAACCTGAATTGAGAGAAGACGTACGGGCAGAACTTGAGGACGAGGACCAGCGACATCCACCAGTGGAGGGCAGGTCTACACTCGTGGAGGAGTTCGACCAGCGAATCAAGCGAGAAGAGAGTGCCGACGCTCCCTCGAGAACAGACCTCCCTCTTCCACCATCTCGAGCTAGGGACGTCGTAATGGAGATGCAAAAAGTTCGAGAAAATCGGGACCGGTTCAAGATCGAGGGTCGGACTGGCGGTGCGGGTGTTCCTGTCTCGGCCTGCATGTTCACGTTCCATAACAGCTTGGGGAGGTAAGTTCTCGTACATGTTCTTCGGTGCGGCTTCACCATGCTGACTGTTGTCTTCTTAGCGTTTCATGTATGGACTTTTCCAATGACCACGAGCTCGTGGCTGTCGGAACTATGGACTCTTATATCCGCGTCTGGTCTATGAACGGAAAGCCATTAAAATCATCTGTAGCCAGCGAGAAGGATCTACAAGTCAACAACCGGAAGCTGATTGGCCACTCCGGTCCGGTCTACGGTGTGTCTTTCTCGGATTCCATTGCCAACCTGGACCGTAATGTCTTTCCGGAAGCCGACGGGGCCAAGCCTGATACGAGCACCAAGCTACTTGTATCATGCTCGGCGGACGGTCAAGTCCGCCTTTGGTCCCTCGACCACTGGGCATGTCTATGCATCTACAAGGCCCACGATGGCCCCGTCTTCCGCGTTCTTTGGGGTCCTCACGGCCATTACTTCGCGACTGGCGGCTGGGACAAGACCGTCCGCGTGTTCGCGCAAGATAGAGCCTCTGCACTGCGCATTATGGTCGGACATGATACGCCCATTTCAGCAATCGCGTGGCACCCGAACGGAACGTACATCTTCTCGGCATCGGACGACACCGACAAGTCCATCCGCATGTGGTCTGTGGTGACAGGCAATTGCGTCCGCATCTTCACGGGCCACACGGACTACATCAGCGCGTTGCAATGCGCGCCGAACGGAAAGATCCTCGCCAGCGCCGATACTGGTGGAAACATTTTCTTCTGGGATATTGCCAAGGGCGCGCGTATTAAGCGGTGCCGCGGCCACGGCAAGGGTGGTATTCCGTCACTAAGCTTCAGTGCCGAGTCGAACGTGCTCGTGTCAGGAGGCTTGGATGGCACCGTGAGGCTGTGGGATGTGGAGTTGCCGGCCGATCCCAGCAAGAGCAGCCAGCTTGCTATCACGAGTAGCGGTGCGGCGGTTGGAGGAGGCGCATCTGGTCAACAGGCGGATGGTGCTGCGACTGGCGACAGCATCGCTGTGGCGTCTGGCGGAGGTCCCAACGGTAATTCGATCACCGTGGGTGGCACTGGTTCTGCGGCTACACCAGCAGCTGCCGCTAATGGCAGCAGCGGTGCGGTCACAGGGAAGAAGAAGGGCAAGGAGGTGCAGATTACACCTGATCAAATCAGCGCGTTTGCGACCAAGAAAACTCCTGTTTTGAAGGTGCAGTTTACGAGAATGAACCTGGTGGTTGCGGGCGGATGCTATGATCCTGAGCGTTAGGAGGTTCAGGATCAGCGGTCCTTGTAGGAACCCAGGGAGCCATGGCAATATTGGCAGGAAAGGTCTTAGTTTTCCAACGTAAAGTAGGTTGTTTGGCTATAATCAATGACGGTTGAAATGGGTCGCATGTACTATTGCGATCGAAAGGAGTTGACGATCCAGGAGTTCCGGTTCGCGAAAAAGGTCCATAGGGTTGGGAATCATTAGTTCAGTGATACCTTCAAGCCGAGAAATAGGGTTTAATCAAATCAAGCATAAAAATTAGAAGTCAACAACAAAGCTTAGCAGTTCCAGTATATCGTTTGAATAGCTTCACCCGCTGTTACTATGTAGTAAGAGGTGGTGAAACGACGTCAATTGGCCCGAGCGTCCCGCAGCTGCTTTGGGCGACGGGGAGCTTGGCCGCTGACGATGCACCTGCCTAGGCGACCAAGTTAGCGCACTCCAAGTTCCCATTCAACAGTCCACTCACCATCCATACCTATACCCGTCTCTATGGTGTACGTTCCTTGGAGCTTCCATACTACCGGCCTTCATATACTGCTGGTGATTTGTGCGTCTTATCATTGTGTCTATTCCTTGAATCCATCTTTTGGTTGAGAATCCTACAAGCAGGAGCTGCGCAATGGAGGATCCCTGGGCCGACAGCGCCATCGGCGGCGAGAGCAACAACAGCTCCTCTACAGTTCCCCAGTCCGATGACACGGCGCCCGCCGACAGCACCGCCGCCCCGTCCACATCGTCAACCCTGACGCCGTCAACCAACACGAGCAGCAGCCGACCCACGCGCCTGACACCCCGTCGCCTGGTCGCCCAACCAACTCGTCTCGAGGCCGTCGAGGACGATCCGCTTGGTCCTCTAGGTGCCAGCACCCCTACGGCCACTGACACCCCGCTTGCCCCCCCTCAGCCGCCTCTCAAGGAGCAGCTACCCTTGAGGACGACATTGTCCGGAGGCCCGAACCAGATCGGCAGCGGCGCCAGGAGGCCCGGCGGTGGACCCTCCGACCCGCACCGCATCGAGGAGGAGGAGCTATACAATGATAACTCGAGCGGGCCAAGGCAGCCGCCGCCGGTACCGCCTGCCCTGCCAAGCCCGGTGCGCATGTCGATGCAGCCGAGCGTCAGTATAGAGCAGGCGGCGAACCCAACGTTCCATATCTCTGTCGGCGATCCGCACAAGGTTGGCGATTTGACTAGCAGTCATATAGTTTACTCTGTGAGGACAAAGGTACGGAACGTCTAGATACACTCGTATTCCCCTATCTTTGGAACTACAAATGTGCTAACCACAACTGAACAACTCAGACGACATCAAAAGCCTACAAGCAGCCCGAGTTCGAAGTCAAGCGGCGGTACCGCGATTTTCTATGGCTCTACAACACGCTACACGCCAACAACCCGGGCGTGGTGGTGCCTCCTCCGCCTGAGAAGCAGGCGGTGGGCCGGTTCGAAAGCAACTTTGTCGAGGCGCGACGCGCCGCTCTGGAAAAGATGCTTAACAAGACAGCCGCCCATCCGACGTTGCAGCACGATGCCGATCTCAAACTGTTCTTGGAGAGCGAGGCGTTCAACATCGATGTCAAGCACAAGGAGCGCAAGGAGCCGCACTTGGGCGAGAGCAAGGGCGTGCTGAGCACGTTTGGTATCAGTGTTGGAAGCGGGAACAAGTTTGTGGAGCAGGATGATGTGAGTTGTGACTTGCTCCTTGGGGGGTTGCGTGCTAAAGACCGTGCTAACGATGGATGGTTGTAGTGGTTCCATGATCGCAGAGTCTACCTTGATGCTCTCGAAAACCAACTCAAGGGCCTTCTGAAGGCCATGGACAGCATGGTCGCGCAGCGCAAAGCGATGGCGGAGGCTGCTGGCGAGTTCTCGGCCTCTCTCCATGCTCTTTCGACCGTGGAGCTGTCGCCTACTCTCTCCGGCCCTCTCGACGCGCTCTCGGAGTTGCAGCTTACCATTAGAGACGTGTATGACCGCCAAGCCCAACAGGATGTGCTCACTTTCGGTATCATCATCGAAGAGTACATCCGTCTCATTGGCAGTGTCAAGCAGGCCTTCTCGCAGCGCCAGAAGGCATTTTATAGCTGGCACAGTGCCGAGTCGGAATTGCAGAAGCGGAAGGCTAGCCAGGACAAGCTCTTGAGGCAAGGCAAGAGTCAGCAGGACCGCTTGAACCAAGTTAATGCCGAGGTGGCGGATGCTGAACGCAAGGTGCATCAGGCGCGCTTGTTGTTTGAAGACATGGGCCGTCTGATGCGCGCTGAGCTGGACAGGTTCGAGAGGGAGAAGGTTGAGGACTTCAAGTCGGGTGTTGAGACCTTCTTGGAAAGTGCTGTTGAGGCTCAGAAGGAGGTATGTTTCCCCCTTGACACCAACATGAAACGCAACTGTTTACTAACTTTCTTACTCAGTTGATCGAGAAGTGGGAGACCTTCCTCATGCAGCTCGACGCCGAAGACGACGAGACCGTGTTCTACCGTCCTCCGGTCGTCCAAGCGAACAAGCCTGCCGGTGACACGGCGGTGGATCGAGCTCGGGCGAGGATCGACGATGACTCCGATTAGGATCGTGGTCTTGTGGGAAATGACCAGTCGGCGAGGACCACTTCGCCATCGAACCTAACCGACCGCACGAACCAAGCAAAAAGGATTCCAGACTATAAGAAAGCGGATAGTGCATGGTCGTGGTTTTAGGAGAGGGCGAAGCTAGAACAGTCCCACAGACGGCCACAGAGACATAAATAACTCCTGGTCCGGGCGCCGCGCTTAGGAGGATAGTGACATTGCAGGAAGACCAGCCTGGTGTCGGGGCTAACAGAAAGACAGGAAGCATAGGAGTTAGCAGCCCCCGTATCCACCTTAGCACATGAATACAGATATAATGATGATGGTTTAGAGAGCGATTGCAACAAGTTTTGCATTGGAGTTCTTGAAGAAGCGTGTACTGTCCATGATAGGGATGTCGACTGTATCGTACATAACATTTATTAGCTAGGTGCGAGCACATGATATCAAAACGGGATGGGCGCACTGAACATTCAAATTTTTGAAATCTCTTATCCATACACTTTCTATTCTCGGCCCCCACAAACGTGTCTTCCATTCCTCCTCCCATTCCATGTCTATTTGTACAGATCTGCCTTCCCGCATCCTCGATGGCCTTGGCGCGGCACCTGATGATACACTACCCTCCGAAGTGATCAAGCAGCAGCAATGACCGGGCAAACATCCTCGTCCTCCGCGGCGGAACGGTCGATATAACGATACAAGGTGAGGGGTTATCCCAGGGGTCAGAAGGAATGAAAAGTGAACCACTTCCCACTCAGAGGGTAAGGATGCTTTGGGCATCTTTCGGGGTTTCTTAGAGTAGTGACTTGCGTCTAAGATAACCTCAACGCCGCCCCCACAAACATTCCATCGCCCATCGCCCAACAAATCACCCCCTCCCTTTACTTCTTCTTGCCATAATGACGAGTTTCCTTGAAATTCAACCCAGGGTTCATGTTCTCTGTAGCATACCCACTGATCAAATCCGTCAAAGAATCGAAAGGATCAGCCTCCTCAGCCTCAGCGGCCTTCTTAGCAGCCTCTTCCTCCTCCTTCTTCTTCTTAGCCAACAACGCCTCTTCAGCCGCCTTCTTAGCAGCCTTGCCACCAGGAACACCAGCACCACCAGCAGCCGCAAGAGCAGCAGCAGCAGCCTCCTCCTCCGGCGTCATCTTCGCATCCAGATCCCACCCGCGACCATATCTCTCGCGGAAGGCGGCCAGCTTACCGGCCTCGTCCAGCTCGACGTTCTTGAGCGACTTGTCGGAGGGTTGCCACAACAGGTGGTTGCGGCTGTCCTTGGCGCTCTTGTACAGGGCCGTGGGCATGGTGGTGCGCACCGTAAAGGTGCTGCCGTCGGAGAGCTGGACCAGCTGGGTGAATTGGTAGGGGCGACGGTGGCGGGGGACGAAGGTTGCGTTACGGATTTGTTGGCCTTGGGCGTGAGCGGTGCATGATGGCGGCGTTGGACGAGAGGCCGAGTAGGCGGTGTATGTGGTGGTGGAGGGGAGGGCCGAAGGGCGGCGGAGGAGGGTGGTGGAGAGTTTTGATGACATTTTTGGCGGTTATCGTTTTGTTGTATTATGGGATAGGTATCTTCGCTTTTTTTGGTATATGGGTTGTTAAGGTATGGACCGTCGTCGTCGCCAGTGAAGTTAATCAGGCGTCGTGGTGATGGGCGAGCCGCGGGGACGTCGGAGGACGGGAGAGAAAACGGTTCGTATCGGGGGTCGGGTCGTAGGGTGGACGGCGGCCGGAGGCGTGGAAACGGGATATCGAGATTCGCGCCGCGCGGACTCGGACTCGGGTGGTGGTGGTCTGGCTCAAGGCGCTGCTAGTCGCGGGACCGGGACGGGTGGGCGGGTGGATCAGCAGAGACAAAAATTGTTACGGCGGGCTATTTGGCTATCAAGCGCTATCGTTATCGGCCGGCAGGCACATCGATCTTACACTATAAGTGTACCTTGAAGTCCGGGGAAGGAACGAAGCGAGCTCTTTGGTCCCGCTTCTTGGAAAACACCCGACCGCGGCTGCCCGGCGGGGCCGATCCCAGATAAGATGAGATCTTGTTAAGCGCATTTGCCCTGAAGCCAACCTGTCAGGGGCGTCAGGCGCGGTGTCCAGGGGCCTATGCCCGCTGAAGTGCGTCAGTGTCAGGGCTGAAATTTTGGGTAGTGTCGGGGGATAGCTTGAGATAGCACCGAACGGTTGGCACATGGAAGGAACTTTTGCGCGATTCATCTCTTGTCAACAACATCATCGCCAGCCTTCCAGAGACTGTCAATCCCTTTCAATTGGCTTTCTGCGAAGCCGCTCAATGGGCCTGAGATGAGCAGTCGCCGGGTCCTGGGCTTCACTGCCGAGCAAGCGCATATCTGCAATCGCAATGGCATCTACCCGGTGCAGTCACAGAAACCGTCTATCAGGATCATGACGGCAGCAGCACAATGGCGAGTTGCTGCTGGACAGCACGCCAGAACATCTCAACTCTGTAAGTGCGCATGACATATACGAATCCGGAATTGATTTGATACTACCCATGCCATCCGTACTTTGGAAAACAAACAAGCTTAGCTTAAACTAACTCATGAATCTACCCAACAGTTTGTCGAGCCATCCACACTAGTCACATCAATGCCCGAGAATGGACAATAACCGACCCCAAACCACCATCTCCCCCAAATCGACCACATCATCTACCCGGCCCCGCCCATAAGAAGCTCTCCCCGATCGCCGAACGAACCCGTTCCCTTATGCGCCTCTTCCCACATTCCGTTGTAGTATGCACCTCTACCGATACACATACGCATAACCATTCCTTGCAGTCGCACAGGCCTCATAAGCCGACCATGCGCGGCATGACCATGTCCTCTCTCACCTGCCTCGGCCTTTCCCCCTCGCCCATTGTCAGCTTCAACATCACCCACCCGTCCCGGACACTGGACGCATTGCGCGCCAGCAGGCGGTTCAATATCCACATCCTTGCTGATGACATCGCGGGCGCGGCGATTGCGGACTGGATGACCAGGGGAAACAGCGAAGGGCCAGAAAAGGTGTTCAGAGGGCTGGAGAGTGAATGCGGGTGTTTGGTTGCCAACCATGAGGCGATGGATATGCGTAGGGACGATGGAGAGGCACCCCTACTGGATGGGGATGGAGTGCTCTATATAATGAAGTGCAGGGTATTGGAGGAGCCTATGACGGGCTTCGTCCCCGTCCGGGATCACGTTATTGTGCTGGGAGAGGTCGAGGAGATTGTCGAGGGGCTTGGTGTTAGGCGCGGAGCAGAAGAAGGGAAAGAGATGAACTCGTTGGATCCTGCTGAACTGGAGAAGTCCGAGGGAAAGGGTATAGACGGATACCAGTTCGGACTAGTGTATGCCGACAGAAGGTATAGACAGTTAGGGAACTGTATAGTCCCGCTGCATGGTCCAGTTAGGAGTACTCACGAGGACGAGCCTGTGAAGAACGCCAGTAGTAGGATTAGTACACTTCCCGAAACAACAAACTCTTAACCAAACAACCGAAACGCAAGTCAATGTGTGAACCAATACGGCATGGGCGGCCTGTACTCATCACTAGGGGCACTCGAAGGATTGCAAAGCAAGTAGGTAGGCAGCCAACGCGGTCTGTTTTATGCGAACGTTTCCTCCCTAAATATGACCCTCAAATAGTATCTTTCCAGCCCCAATCGCGACTCGAGAAGCGCTCAGGGCGAGTCAGCACCGGTAAGAGACATAACGCCGAAAATGATCTTCCATTGACCCGTTAATCCGCCTGTATCCCAGAGCTATAGATGCATTCTTGAGTGATACATTTACTCGCCCTTCTGGACACCCTTGATACCGACGAGCTCGGTCTCGAAGATGAGGGTGGAGTTGGCGGGGATGATGCCACCGACAGCGCGGTTGCCGTAGGCGAGGTGAGGGGCGATAGTGAGCTTGCGCTTCTCGCCAATCTTCATGCCGAGGAGACCCTCATCCCAGCCCTTGATGACCTGGCCCTGGCCAACGGTGAAGTTGAGAGGCTCGCCACGGTCGTAGCTAGCGTCGAACTTCTTGCCGCTGGTGAGGACACCCTTGTAGTGGACGTCAACGTTGTCGCCTGATGGGAGAGATTAAGTCAGCACGTTTACTTCACACCTGAGGCGCTCTCTTGCTGGTTTGCGTAGTACAAAGGGCTCAATGTAAGGCGCTCAAATTCAGATATGTGCAATGAGGGCCAAATTCAAACGGGGCGTCAAGGCAGAAGCGGAAAATTGCACACCAGAGCTAGACCTAGCTCCAGGTACAGCTGAGGTGGTTACACTTACCGCGACGGGTCTCACGGGTGCCCTGACCCTCCTGCTGGACCTCGATCTGAAGACCGTCAAGCTGGGGAATAGTCATCTTGCTGGATGTGGTGGTGAAGTTGTGTTTTGGGTTTGTTTGGGGAGTGGTGTAAGGGAAAGAGTTCAGAGTCTTGGGCACAGAAAAGAGGAACGAGGGGCGGAGGAGGGAAAGACGAGGAGCGACGACCCTGAGGCGGTGGGGCGCAAGCTTTATCCCGTTCATGGCGTAATTAGATTGGTGAACCTGTTGAGTGGAAGGGGACGAAAGAGAGGGGCAGAACGAGCAAGGAGGGCAGGAGGCAAAGCGATCCTGCAGTGAGCCTTCCAAGCTGGGAACGGGAATCAGGGAATATGTACAGGGAGATCACTGAATGCCAGAATCAGCACAGCGCGGGTCGGCACGTTTGTGTATAAGCAAACTAACTGCTGGAAGATGGAACCAACAGCGTTCTTTTCCGACCTCGAGGTTGCTTGACCTCGACCTTTTGAAACCTAGGTAGGTAGAGGTATCTAGAGGTAATAACCCTCTCAAAGAGCTTACTTGTGTGGGTTGAAGCCCCACGCACGGAGCTCCCAACCGGACCGTCCTGGTTCACACATTATTATTAAGCTTTTACTCGCCGGACTTGACACCGATCAGACTGGAAAATCCCATCATCAACGGCTCAGAATGATCTCACAACTCTTCTTGCCAGCGCCTGTTGCCGTGGGGTCAGGGCTGCAGTGCTGCAGCTGCTGCGCAAGTAATGCAATGTGAGCTTGCCCTGCGTACCTGCCAGCCCGAGAGAGCTCGTCACGAACCATGGAGGGGCATTGAGGAGCAAGGGTTCTTCTTGGCATAACATTATGGGGCGCTGTGCAGGGCTCCCGTCATATCTCCCTTCATCCATTCAACCTGCATGGAGCTTGCACGTTGTGTTGCGCCTTCGACCACGCATGTTGGTCGGGTCGGACCATGTTAATTAGGTACATGAGGGGAGTGCCGGTTAGAGAAGAGCTCGGATAACACTTTATCGGTTAAATATTCGACCGATGGATCTAAGTTGTGCCCTGGTGGTGGTGATGGTGGTGGTGGTTGTGAGAAGCCGTGCTACTCTGGAGCTTTGTGCCGTCGATTATGATACAGGTCAAATGACGAGGGACGTGATGATGTTTTCTGGATTCGCATTAGTTGATCTTTGGGTCTTTAAAATCAGCATCCCATTCAGCATCTCGCTAAAGGTAAGTCAATAAATAATCCTTGGTTGAGTGAGGTCCATGTTGAAGACCGAGTATAGCAGCCACCTCAGTCTCGGGACCTAGGGGTCATTCCCTTGCCGAGATGTGGCGATCCAAAACGAGAACAAAACAGCAAGCCTGGACAAAGAGACATCGACGTTGAGCATACCACAGATGGGCATGGGGACTCGAGCATTGCTGATTAGAACTTTGCAAAAGGGTCAGAGGACTGAAGTATCATGGCTGTATGAAATAGAGATGAAGAGACAACCGAGCAAGAAGAGGACACCAGCAACCTATAAATGGCTAGGCTCAACAAGGCCACACTGCCAAGTGCTATGAAAGTTGGCGAAAAAATGTGTGGATTGAGACGACGTGATACGATCATGCGAGGTCGACAAAGAGACGAACACCGAGTCCATCATGCCTGGCCGCGATGGCAGCGGTCGAGACCTCGCCGAATCCGATGAACCTCCCCATGCGCATACACTAGTGCAGAGAACCACAATCACAGAGGCTTCTTGAAACAGGCAGAATCTCAAACTCGATCTCCAAATATAGGTGGCTGGTCAATCGTGGACGACGGGTCGGGACGTTAGCACGCGCAGCACCGAGGGCACGTTGTCGACGGATCGTGGGGTGCCTGGGCTCCCATCGTTCAGCCTTGCCATGACTACACGACAAACAGGGGCCTCGATGATTCTGGATCGTTCTGCCCATTGGCTGCCCAATCGCGGGATGCAGGAGGCATCCGTAGATCATGTTGATGGAATGGAGAAGGCTCCAGATGTGAAGGTTGCCCCTCCTGAACCCGGTGATTGGAGTTGATTGGATGTTTTACACCTGCCATCTCGACTCGCCTCCAGCTTTCTTTGGAGATCCAGAATCATGGTGTAATTTCTGGAGTCATTTCAGTTCCCAATGCTGATAGGGGGGGCAATGGCAACGATAGGGGAGCAACAGCTGAGGAATGCGGATGGAAGAGGGTCCTGCCCCTCAGCGGAGCGATTTGGACGGGGTTCGAGCTGGGGTAGCTCCTGCAGCCTCTTGAGAGAAGCGCAAGGAAGCCAAGACGCGCTCTGCTTGCGGACCTCCAGCCAATCAAATAGCATGATTTGGCTATGTGGGGATAGCAAGCAACGGCCGCAAACGAATCAGAGGAAGGCCATGGAATTCTGGACGATAGAATCTCATCGAATTCTGTTGCTGGCAACAGCCAGGACCCAGGGGCCGCCGCAAGAACATTTTAGATGCCACTGCTGCCCTCTTCCTCTCTCGCTCTTCCCTTCGTTCCTCAGTCTTCCCAATCCAATCTCAACTTTCCTCTTTCCTCTCTCGACTCGTGCCTGCAGCAGTATCCTCTCTTTTTTCTGGAGGAGCAGAACACTACTAGCGCTTTTTCTTTGCATCTCTTTTTGGTAGGTTCACCCGCTGCCCAGTGCCTCTCTTTTGGTATCTGGCCACTGCCCCTCCTTCTCTCCCTCCCCCGCTTCAGCCTCGTCTTATATTCGCTCCCTCACTCCCCTTCGTCACCAATTATTAAGGACAACAACCTTCACCTGCTCGCTTTCGGTTTGCAGATAAACCATCGTGTACATATAAAGTCGCAGCACCTTTACAGGACGTGTGCGCTAACAGACCCTGCTCTAGATACCCACACATTTCACCCACAGATCTGCCCAACATGGCGGCCGCTGAGACTTTCGAGTTCCAGGCTGAGATCTCTCAGCTTCTCTCCCTCATCATCAACACTGTTTACTCCAACAAGGAGATCTTCCTTCGTGAGCTTATCTCCAACGCCTCCGATGCTCTCGACAAGATCCGCTATGAGTCCCTGTCGGACCCCAGCAAGCTGGATTCCTGCAAGGATCTCCGCATCGACATTATCCCCAACAAGGAGAACAAGACCCTCACCATCCGCGATACCGGTATCGGTATGACCAAGGCTGTAAGTTTGCCTCGAATCAATCTTGGCCTTGTGAAAGTGACGATGCGCTGACTGATTACGCTTAGGACCTTGTCAACAACCTTGGTACCATTGCCCGTTCCGGTACTAAGCAGTTCATGGAGGCCCTTACCGCTGGTGCCGATATCTCCATGATCGGTCAGTTCGGTGTTGGTTTCTACTCTGCCTACCTTGTTGCCGACAGAGTTACCGTCGTCTCCAAGCACAACGATGACGAGCAGTACATCTGGGAGTCTTCGGCTGGTGGTACCTTCACCATCAGACCTGACACCGAGGGCGAGCCCCTTGGCCGCGGTACCAAGATCATTCTCCACCTCAAGGAGGAGCAGCTTGACTACCTCAACGAGAGCAGGATCAAGGAGGTCGTCAAGAAGCACTCCGAGTTCATCTCCTACCCCATCTACCTCCACGTCCAGAAGGAGATCGAGAAGGAGATTCCTGACGAGGAGGCTGAGGAGGTAACCGAGGAGGGTGATGACAAGAAGCCCAAGATCGAGGAGGTTGATGAGGAGGAGGAGGAAAAGAAGAAGGAGAAGAAGGTTAAGAAGATCAAGGAGACCAAGATCGAGGAGGAGGAGCTCAACAAGCAGAAGCCCATCTGGACTCGCAACCCCCAGGACATCACCCAGGAGGAGTATGCTGCCTTCTACAAGTCCCTTTCCAACGACTGGGAGGACCACCTCGCTGTCAAGCACTTCTCCGTTGAGGGTCAGCTCGAGTTCCGCGCCATCCTCTTCGTTCCCAAGCGCGCTCCCTTCGACCTCTTCGAGACCAAGAAGACCAAGAGCAACATCAAGCTCTACGTCCGCCGCGTCTTCATCACTGACGATGCTACCGACCTCGTCCCCGAGTGGCTCAGCTTCATCAAGGGTGTTGTCGACTCTGAGGATCTCCCCCTCAACCTGTCTCGTGAGACTCTCCAGCAGAACAAGATCATGAAGGTCATCAAGAAGAACATCGTCAAGAAGTCTATTGAGCTCTTCAACGAGATTGCTGAGGACAAGGAGCAGTTCGACAAGTTCTACTCTGCCTTCTCCAAGAACATCAAGCTTGGTATCCACGAGGATGCCCAGAACCGCAGCGCCCTTGCCAAGCTCCTCCGCTTCCACTCCACCAAGTCTGGTGACGAGATGACCTCTCTCTCCGACTACGTTGCTCGCATGCCCGAGCACCAGAAGAACATCTACTACATCACTGGCGAGTCCATCAAGGCCGTCTCCAAGTCTCCTTTCCTTGACGCCCTCAAGGAGAAGGGCTTCGAGGTTCTCTTCCTTGTCGACCCTATTGATGAGTACGCCATGACTCAGCTCAAGGAGTTCGAGGGCAAGAAGCTTGTCGACATCACCAAGGACTTCGAGCTCGAGGAGACCGAGGAGGAGAAGAAGCAGCGTGAGCAGGAGGAGAAGGAGTACGAGGATCTCTGCAAGGCCCTCAAGAACATTCTCGGTGACAAGGTCGAGAAGGTCGTCGTCTCTCACAAGCTCGTCGGCTCTCCTTGCGCCATCCGTACTGGCCAGTTCGGCTGGTCCGCCAACATGGAGCGTATCATGAAGGCCCAGGCCCTCCGTGACACCTCCATGTCCAGCTACATGTCTTCCAAGAAGACCTTCGAGATCTCGCCCAAGAGCCCCATCATCAAGGAGCTCAAGAAGAAGGTTGAGACTGATGGTGAGAACGACAAGACTGTCAAGTCCATCGTCCAGCTTCTCTACGAGACCTCTCTCCTCGTCTCCGGCTTCACCATTGACGAGCCCGCCAGCTTCGCCGAGCGCATCCACAAGCTCGTCTCCCTCGGCCTCAACCTCGATGAGGAGCCTGAGGCTGCTGCCGATGCCCCTGCTGCTGCTGAGGGTACCCCCGCCGCCGAGACTGGCGACTCCGCCATGGAGGAGGTTGACTAAACGATTTCATGACTACAAAAGTTTAATGAAAAAGGTTTTGGGACGGAGTTTGGGTTTTCGTTTTACTGACGGGCATTTTGTTACCCTTCTGCATCTTTTGCCTTTTCCATAATTTTCAGATTCCCCGGCTCTGTACTTTAGTCTATGACAACATATGGTTTGGTCTGGTCTTGAGGTAGAGCATGAATGCAATGGATGAGAAACAAGCAACTTAAAGTGGTGAAATGTGACATGGTCGTGAAAACTGTGTATGCAGTGAACATTGCGACTTCTTGTGTAAAGGTGTGGAAGTCTGATGATAGCTTGAAGCTACTTACGAAGTGGTATTGAGCGTACGGTACAGACCTATACTGACCGATCTACCTGACGCTGCGGCTGACACAGAACGACACTTGAGCAAGAAGTTTACATTTCTTCAACATCTCTTTCATTTGAAAACTGGATTCGTGCCTGTTCCAACCAAGCATCTCCAGTGAGTGGGATTCGTTGACTGATGAAGGAGGAAAGGGCGCAAAGGACAAAAGATGTTATGTCGTCCGACGAGGGTACCAAAGCGATGTGATGGCCATGGGGTGGGTTATGCCCTCGCAAAGAGCAGAGAGGACACCGAATTAGGGCCTTTAAAGAAAGTCAAGGTCGGTGAGGGCGTTGACAGCCACGCTCGCGTTCATAGCGCACGAGGGAGGGTAAACGAGACTTCACTTCAATGAAGAAAAGTTGACGATGGGGATGAGAAACCCGATACCGTCCAATTCAAACTCGATGCAGACGGCTGCGACCATCATAAGATTAAGAAGAGCTTACTTGGGGCTTTTTCAACGTATCACGATCCTTTGTCAGTTACTGTGCGATGCGTGCAGTCAACGAAGCATCACCAGCTCAGGTAGAGGTAGTAGAGGAATTGCCATCCATTTCTATCTATGTATACTAGGTAGATAGGTACGCACGCATTGGGTTGTTCATCTCCACTTATATATAGCTGTGCAGCAAAACTATCGTAGGCTTTCTTGGGTTATTCCAGTTTGTTTGCTAATGTAATAGGCCAGGGTAGAACTTGTGCATACGAACAGAGTGGCTGTGGTTAATTGATTGGTGTTGGCGTTGCTCCTGGTGATACATACGTAGTGATTGTAGTAATCGATGGTTAGTTAGACTTGCACCCCACATCATGACAAACGCCCTATATAGGCCCTAGCTTTGAGCTAATTAAACAACAATGGCCGTTTGGCGCAACGGTAGCGCGTTACTTTCCGGTGGTAAAGGCTCTGGGTTCGAGTCCCAGGATGGTCGACTTCAATTTTTTTTGGGTCTTTTTGGACATTTTCTTTTTATTTTAGCATATGGACTTACATGTAGTCCCCTTTCTTTCTTTTGGTTGGTTTTCGTTTTTTATTTCTTGCTTTTCTTGGTGCAGTTCGTGTATTCCTGTAATGGTTAATCGTGCTATTTTTTCAAGCTGAGGTGGATTAGTATATCCGGTTCAGCTCGAATGGGATTGTGCGTGGCTTTAAAGGTGACGTGTATCAGTTCGGAACGGTTTATGTGTATTTGTTCCCTGGTGTGGGTTGGGACGCCGATGGGTGGCTTGCTCGGACAATGTGTAGCTCAGCTCATCATGGATGGTCTAGCCGTGATAGATATACCATTCATATTCCATGAGCGGAATGGATGTTAACCGGGCTTCACATGTTAATTCCCCAATTCCCTTTTTTGATAATTTTGTTCGTGACTGCATCTTGAATCGAACATCTATTCGGGATGAAATTGCGAAGATGTCAGCTGCCTTTCTACGAGACTCTTGTCATTGCATCCTGATAATCATAGCTTGGATCAGAGCAGACACAAGTACACAAAGTAAACTTTTCTCATTTTCCGCTTATGCAATCCCTGTATCATCCGTGGAAGTCTTCTCCATATAGTAGGCTGAAAGGTGTAAAAACGATATGAGAATCTACTTCAGAAACCCCGTCTATATCCGACAGAACGAACTGCGCAGCTGATTTTTCTTTTGTGTGACTTGATGCAAAGCCCAACCATTAAACACCGCTCCTCACTCGCGTCCATCCATATTGTCCGTCGACCTCCCTGTATGAACCACCACCCACCGTGGCGGTTATGAAAAAAGCAAATGCCAACCTTGTGTCCGTCCCAGTGTAGACCCACCAACCAACCCGCCTGTCCGGCACGCAAACCCGAAGAAATTCCACCAAACCCCTTTTCGTTATCTCATCATGAATAAAGAACAAGCAAAATGGGTTGTAGTGGTGGTTGAAGTATGAAGTAAAAGTGCAGAATCAAGAACCCCCAAGGCTAAATAAAAAGACGAGCAAATGAAGAGATAGGCTACTAACTCAGCCCTCGAGAGTTTGTTGGAACAAAAAGAAAAACCTCCCCAAATATGCGAAGCACCTTAAACTTGGCCACGAAATCAATGGGTGACCTCCTCTCCATCGTCCTCTTCCCTGAACCGGATTCCTCCCTCGACCTGGATGCCACCGCTGACCCACTCGGTCGCGGCAGCCTGAGTAAGCGGCCATCTGGTTCTCGCCCGTCTCAGCAGGCCCTCGACCACTTCCCTGGCACCCTGCAGGCCTTTAGCGCTGAACTTGGCGGGATCCGCCTCGTGCTTGCCCTCACCGTCCTCGCCGTTGGGGACGCCATATTCGATCCACCGCCACTCGACACGGGCAATCCGATGACTAGTCCGACTCCGCATGCGCATCTGCATGGCATAATCACCGGCTCCGGGGGGCGGGTCGAAAGGGAGCCTGCCCTCGAGAAGCGCGTAGAGAAGGACACCCAGCGACCAGGCGTCAGTAGCGCGGCCGTCGTAGGGTTGGCCCATGATGACTTCGGGGGCGGCATAGTCGTCCGAGCCGCATCTTGTTTCGAGCTTTTCGTCATCGGCGACACGGCGGGAGAGACCGAGATCGGTGAGGGTGATAACTGAGTAAGGGTAGGTTGCCCAATCGGTGGGTGTGCTGAGCTCCTCAGGTGTAAGATTGACAAGGACATCTGTAACATGTGATTAGACCTAGACAACACGGACTCATGGGTAATGCGACTCACTCTCCAATTTAATGTCCCTGTGCACAATCTTCTCCGAATGAAGATAGCTGACTGCACCAACCACCTCAGAAAAGATGCGGCGTAAAAGTGTCGGGCTTAAAATGTCGCGATGACGACTGGCAATGTCGAAAAGGTCGCCACCGGGGCAGTAACTCAACACCAGAATGGCCCGCGTCATCTCAATGTTCCAAGCCTTGAGCTGAACCAACGAAGGATGTTGCAGAACCCTCATGAGTTCCAATTCTCGTTTCAAGCTCATCTCGATCCTGTCCTCCGATGCCCCTCCACGGGGTCCATGCTCACAGACTTTGACGGCAACAAGACTGCGGCGGTCGTGATATGTCGGCTCGGGGGTATGCATGCCGGTACCGGATGAGCAGTCCTCGTCGTCCGACGGGGATATTTGACTTGTGGCGAGCATAACTCTGCTAAAGGTGCCCTGACCCAGCATCTTGATAGCGCGCCAGCGGCGCAGCTTCCGGTCGTGCTTTCCATAGGCCTCGAAATATTCGTGATAGGTTTCTTTGTTGGGAAGTCCGAAAGCGGCAAGTGATGAGACGTCGTTGGCACTCATGGAAGCCTCGCTAGGTGGGGGTGTCGGCGGCTTCTCAATGGGGGGCGCAAGACCCCGCGCTTCGGACAAGTGGGGCTCCCGGCGCATGTGGCCGTCATATCCCGGTTCCACGTTTTTCAGCTCGGGCCGGACACGGGTTCCCGAGATGGTCGACATCCGCTTTGGAATATGCATCGGATCCGGAATGTACTCACTAATACTCCGGTTTCGTGTATGCGAGGCCGATGTTGACGGGGTGTGCAGATGCTCGCTTTCGTTCGCGGCTCCGCTGCGACCGGATCCGAGCCCGGCGTATGACTTCTTCTTGGGGAGGACCATGGCCGCGGTAGCCTTCGAGCTCTCGGTGTTGGCCAAAGGTGCGTTTTCGACAGGATGGGATTCTGGTATTGTGTCGCGAGCTTTTTGATATCCTAGCTTCTTCCACGGACCTGGTGAATCACTGGGCAGTAAAGGTGATGGCAGGGGTGTGACATCGCCCATAGCCGCTATGACGGGACTGGGATAACAGGAGCTCGTTGCTGAGATAGGGCTGAAGGGATTTGGAAGACTGCCGGCTCTCAGGCTTGGTGTTCGAGAAATCGGTCTGAGGGAAGAGGCGGAAGATTTGTGGTGCAGGGTCAAGGAAGGACGCGACGACCTTATAAGTGTGGGCGAAGAGGTCAAGGTTCCAAAGGTTGAGCTGTCGCCGGTTGCCGTGGCGAATGGGTTTACTATAGGATTTATCTCGGTCTGCAGTCGTAATCCGTGACCACTCGGCGAGTGAAGGTTCTGGCGACCCCGCGGGGACGAGTGCAGGTTGCTGTCCGCAGACGCAGACGCAGCAGGTCTCGGGGGGGTGGAAGCAGATGTAAAGCGCGGCAGGGTGGGTGAAGGAGCAATGGTATGAGACCGAAACTGGATTTGATCAAGGTTGCTGCAAAGGGTGCCGGCGCGTTCCCGCTTCGGTGTTGAGACGGATGTAGATCCGGCCGGGGTCTCGGCAGAGGTCAACTTGGGCGACGGTGGAGAGTCGAGGCTGAGGGCCGAGTTTTGGTGGACATTGTGCTCGTTGAGGAAGCCTGCGGCAGCTACAGCAGCTGCTGCGTCTTTCCGCGGCGCATCACCGTCGCCTTGTGCATAGGAAGCCTCCCGAAAGGAGGAGGAGGAGGAGGAAAGGGGAGGAGGAGAGGAGCAAAAATGCGAGTAGGAGTTTCTGGAGGACATTGTCGTTGGTACCTCTGTGCTTGGTAGTGCGGGTTGGTTGGTGGTGGTCCTCGTCTCGTCCGGGCCTGGTCCACGGGGTGGTCCTCTGGAATCCTCTGTTGTGGTGCTGGTCCTGGTATCTTTTTCTGCCCAGGTGATGCACTTGCGGTTGCGTCGGGTCAGCGCTGCGGATCCTGGAACGTCTTGACTGTCACTTGCATGCCCACGATCACGATCACGGCCACGTCCACGGCCACGTCCACGGTCGATATCCACACGGCAATTCAGGTACCCGCGGCTAGCTGGTACTGTGTTATCGGGCCTCCCGTCCTTTTGTATGAAAATGTCTTCCGGGGTTCGGCCTCCTTTTCCCAAGTAGTCGCAGTGATGTCGGTGATGGTGAAGGTAGGATCTGGG